AAAAAAAAAAAAAAAAAAAAAAAAAAATACTTCACTTCTGCCTGCCTTCGGGCGGCAGCGCTGCCTTTGGCGGCCGACGACGACGACCACATACCTCTCCTGTGCCATTTCCGCTTTCCAAACGTGCATGATGCCGCCGCGTGTTCTGGTCACCAGGTGACGAGTTATGGACGGCGGCTGGAGTCACGAGAGAGCTGTTTCTCGACTTGCTGACGGTTGCAGAGCTACAGGGTGCACAGTTGGCGTCATGCAATCAAGAATTGGAACTCCAGAGAGCTATCACTGTCAAAGACAACGAGCGCCATCACTCCATCAGCACCAGCTCACTCTGCTGAATGCCGAATTGTTGGGCCGCGCGACAGAGAAACGGTTCGAATCTCGAGGAAACAAGATGCTTGGAAACAAACGGGTCGTAGCTGTGTCTCTGACATCAGAAGCCCTTCGGAGCCGCTCAACAGTCATATGCAGCTGATGCAGTGTGTCAGAGAGCCACAGAGCCTTCGAGCGAGCCGCCCGTCGCTCTGGTCGGCTGCCGTTCTCAATGGCGTCGAAAGAGCAGATTCCGTGGAATAACACCATTGGAGACAATTGGAAGCAAAGCCTTTCAAGCAGGATCTCTGCTGCCATGAACGGCTCAGAGCCAACACATAAGACCAAGCGGCCTTCGTGGACAGCGGAAGCATCTCGGAGACTGCTAAGCTGACCAGTGAGCAGCTCTGTTCGGCTGTCTGTCTCAAAGGCAACGAATGAACAGATGTGCTCGAGCCTGGAGTGCCTGAGCGACCAGAGATAGCATAGGTGTAGGTCATATATCTCTGTCATTCAAAGCCTACGCGAGCCGCGAGTTATGACTGCAGCTCAACTAGCCATTTCCGACACATTTCAGAAGCATAACGACCATACGCTCGTGCTTCTCTCAAACGGTCACCTAGAACGGCACTGTGCCGACAGACCAGTCTGGTCTCCAGAAGCATGGTTCTACGGAGACAGCAGAGGAAGATGCCAGTCTCTCGCTTCAATCAGAGTTTTCGAGCCACCGAGGGTGCATGTAGGCCAGTAAAATCTTGCAGGCGCATTGTGGAAGCAGAAATGACAGGCGCTCTGCTTCTGGAACGGCAGCGTATTGAATGCCATTGAGAGTCCAGACGGCGCAGGTATTGATTGAAGCACATCCTCAGAAGCATGAGAAACGCATATTGGAAAGTTATGCGAGGAACTTGGAGCACGGAAGCAGAATAGGAGAGTAATGCCATCTGATTGTGGGTATCTTCTGATCAGCTTCAAGCTACTTGGGCTGAGATGCAAACGCCATTCCATGCTACCCTCTGGTAATGATCCAGTATACCGCCAACGCCATCGCTAAAATTCAGTCAAAGAGCACGCCTCATCACCCATGGGATAGCCCGCCCGAAAGCATCGTCGCCCGGTTCAAGCAGGATGCTGGCGTGCTGTGCGATAGCAGCCTCTGCACGACACACAGCACCGTGCTGGATCACGCATTCAGCCAGCGATTGAAGTAGACACAGGTCTGTGGGTTGATGGGTCCGCCCTCCTTACAGACATCAAATACCGGGCATCTCCCACAAGGCGCCTGAGTCAGACCTGTGCCCTCCGCTTGCTCCTCGATGTCGAACGCCTGTCCAGGCTGGCGGAAAGTCACACCTCTCTTTGTTCGGTAGCCCCAATTGCCATCGTCACTGTTCCACAGCTTCTCCAGCTTATCATCCCAGATGAGCACATCAAGACATCCTTGCACTTCTTGTACAGTCAGAGAAGCAGATTTTGTTGCCTTGATGGCGTCCGAAGAGATGATAAACTGATGGATGTCTTCAGCTGTCGGGTAGTGGTGAACACCAGCACGATGTGCGAGCTGCGTGAAGTCTGTCTCAGGATCGAAAGTGTGCGTGCGCTGGTAGTGTCGAGGCTTGACTGAGAGATCCTCAATGTCGTTCGCGGGTCGCTTCCTCTTCTGGCCAGTGCCTTCGGTCCCGTCGTCGATCATGATGGCATCCTCCTTGGACGCGGCATCCTTCTTCGACTTGTCCTTGCGGTGCCGCTTCTTTTCCGCTTCAGCCCAGCTGTTAGCTTTGATCCAGAAGATGATCAGATTTAGCAGTTCGTCTCGGAATGACTCGTCCAGATCTCCTGCGTCGAAGAAGGAATTGCCCGTGACGTCCTCACTCGGTACCAGGTGGTACAGCATATAGACTCTCTGCGCCGGAGCCTTGATACTCTTCACACTCTTGATCAGACGCGCCGATTCCAAGTTCTTGATAAGTTTGGCCACGATGGGCTGAGCCAGACCGCCCATCTTGGCTTTGATCTGCTTGCTCCATATTCCCGTCGTGTGACTAGCCTCGATGATTTCGTAGATCATCTTCTCGTCCTTGTCCAGAGCCTTGATCGCCTTTGCCGCCTCGCGAGGACGGATGGACCAGCCGAGGCCCTTTTCGGTCTTGAGCGTGCGGAAGAGATGCTGCCCGGTCAGGTACTTGATGATGGGCAGCAAATCCTTCTTCTCCGTCACCGAAGCCGGTGCAATCTCCAGCAGCTGCTCTTGCGAAAAGGTGAGCGTGAAGCCGCCTTTTTCGTCCTTCGAGTTCTCCATCACCGTCTTGTACAGCTCGTCCGAGGCGATCGCCACTGGCGAGCGCTCATCTTTCTTGTCAGCCATGGCGATAGGAGTGTTATTCGTGGATGTGCGGCGTGCACGAGCGAGCGGCGGTGTTATCGTGGAGTCATGGGCATTTCTGTGCGTGCAAAGCTCAAAAAGTGAGTCTGCATGTGAAAGCTTCGGACTCAGTCGCAAACTAGCTTCGGCGCGGGCCGAAGTCCGCCCCAACTTTCCTCCGACAACATCTGCTTCACTTGCAAAGTCCCAACGGCGAGAGTGTGTCGCCATACATATATTCTGCTCCTGGCTCGCAGTCCGTATCTTCAGTCATCGAGCGCCTTTATGCGTATACTATTTTGTCTCATGCCAGCGTGCTTCCACTGTGCAATCACTAGCACTTCGCATCGTTCTCCTGCTAGTCTGCAGCTGCCACGAAGATCAGTCGCATGGCATTGTTGTATCTGATTACTCGGGTCCGGCATCAGTTTGGACAGTGCCGTTGTCTGATATCTTGATGTCACGAATATCAGCACTGCCCATGCATGTCAAACCCATATCGGTCACAGTTGCTGAGCATCGTCGATAGTTGACCATCTACAGAGGACAGTGCTATAGGATGGGACAATGACAAGTTGAGCTACACGAGATTGCCAGGGAGCATTCCTACGACTATTTGTCTCCCGGAGACTGTCGCCTTCGAGCTCCTCGGATGTATGGCCTGTCTTTTTGCAATCTGCTGTCACGTTTCCTTGCGTTGCCATCTGCGTATCCTCCTCCAGGCACATCGATGCGCAAGGCCCGAATACTCGCTGAATCGACTCAGTATTCAATGTTGTCTGTGTCCACCGTTGTCTGACCCAACCGCCCGGCAGATCGACACATCTGACGGCCCGCTCTTTTCGCTCGCCCCGGAGACCCTCAGTCTCACGTTGTGTCGTCCCCCATCTTGCTATCCCCATCGCCATCTTTGTCTTTGTTCTCGCTCTTACTCTCCGTCAACTGCTGTCCCATTGTTGCTTGACCCCACGACCCGTCGCGCTCTTGCAGTCTGCCACCATGTTGTATCTGCGCCTGGTTGTGGTGGAAGTGCAAACCCAGAGCTTGATCTTCCCTGATTCTCTCCATCTTTGTCTGTATCGTCTCGATGTTTTTCGACTCCCCCTGCACGTAGGTAACATACTGTTGATCGAGATTCTCGCCTCGGCGTTTCGTGCCATGGGTAGGTAGCTTTGCAGGCGAGTGTTTGGGTGCTTCTCCGTGGGATGACATGGTTCCAGGTTCGTGTTCTCGATTGGACGCTACACTGTCGAGGTCAGGCGCTGAGTTGTGAAAAGAGCACGAAGCGAGCGTCTTTGGTGGAGTCAACGGAGGCTTTGAATGAAGACTTTGGTTTGCTCGAGGGAAGAAAGCGTCGATCGCGCGCGGTCTTTGGCGTATTCCTGATGCGTCTTGTTCAATATGCTGGACGAACGGCTGCGCTCGCTGGCTCCTAGAACAGCTGGAATTGGAGGTCGATCAGATGCTGCGATTGCCCCTCCGCGGTAAGAGCTCTTCTCGCGGGTGTACTCTTAGTCAATGCTGTATGCTGAAGTACCGGCTTGCAAAGGGGGAGCAGTGTAGTCGAAGGCTATGTGTAGATGTTGCTGAGTTGGTGCGCGTTCTCGAGAGGATAAGTGCTACAATCGCGAGCGCGTTGCCCGCTGTGGGGCTCGTCACAACGGCAAAATGCTCTCCACAATGTTCCACAGACAATGTGCGGTAACCTGCTTCTCACAATAACAGTGAACTGATCACTCTGACATCTATGTACGCCGTCCAGTCATCGAGCATCAACGTCCCCGGCAGCGCTGTCAAACTTGTGTCTGCCACGCCCGAGCAAATGTCCCGTGCACGCAACTGCTGACGGTCTCGATGCCACAACCCCAAGGCGACAATGAACCGGAACCCTCTGCAGTGCTGCAAATCACTGTTTCCAACTATTCGACCACTAGGTTGAGACATTGATGCCCGTCAGCGCCACATGCTGCCTTCTTAGCAAAACAGTGCACTCCATCGCTTCATCCGATCGAGCCACAAGACCGTGATACTGTCCCTAGGACCCTTAAAAACGCCTCGTAGCAAGCACGCAAGCCACAGCTCTATCCACACTGTTGCTCCGCCACCCACCCTCGCAACGGTGGGATCTCCCATCACTGCCGTCGTACGAGAACCCCTGCAGCATACGTCAGATCACACTTGCTGCCTGCTGCCTGTGTTGATTCGTGAGTGCTTGCGTTGATTAGCGCCTGAGTCAGTCGCCGCGCTAGCACTATAAGAACCCTCCTCTTCCCCCGCCCTTCCAAAACTTTTTCTCTTTCTTTCTCATCCGAGTGGTAAGTCGCCTCTACCCACTCCACTCTTTCATACATCCTGACTGACCTTCCTTTAGCAAGGGCATTACGCACATCAGTGAGGACTTGTCCAAGATTGCGTTTTTGCTAGTTGTAAACTGTTTTTATTGTTTACAGCAAATGACCCTCCAGTTGGTCTTCGGATCGGCTGGGAATTTTTGGCAATCTTTGAGCTTCGGCTCACCAATCTTTTCAGTTTCACCATTCTTTTCATCATGTTCTCGCATTGACGAGGTCTTGGAGAAGAGATTCACCGTCACTTGTTTCGTGCTTGCTGCCCGTCCTGATGTTGTTGTTGGTGCTGTCAGCGATGTTGTGACTCAACGCGTCCTCCACTGCTACGCGACCGTGACTATGAGAGCTCAAGACTTGACGGCCACGTCGCGATGTGCTCATTCCCTCTGGCTTCTCAATGAGGATGGAACAGCCTGCAGTGCACTTGGCAAGAGCTGGATCTAGCGCCGTTAATGCGTCAATTGCATGACCGCGACGAGCTCACGTGTGATCAGCACCGGTAGGAACACCTGCATTGAAGACGAATCGACGTGAAGCCCACGATGACGGAGCCACTGTGGCAGCGAAGAACCGGGCGGACTGCGACTTCGATTTTTGTTGCACTGAGCGTGCGAGCTGGCCTGCCTGTCCAGCTTTTCCGCCGGGTGCCATCTGCTCAATCATATTTGAACCGTCACAGCAATGCTCACGACCGTCCAAAGCAGCACAAATCATTCAATATCAATATGACTACACATGTACCTGACTACAGCATGACTGCCCCTTTTGCCGTGCAAATCTCTGCCCGCCGCAGCCGTCGGCTTCATTGAGTTGTGCTCCACGAGCTGTTCCACCAAGTACCGTCTCATAGAAGCCACTTGAAAGCTCGTAGCAGCTCTGCGCTCGTTGTCATCGGCGTGCTCACATTGAGCATCCGTCGTTGCCCCTAGGTCTCTGCTTGCTTCAACCCATCTCTTCACGCCAAAGCCGGTATTGATCTCCCGCTTCTTCGTTGCCAGCCCCTCACTGCTCGAAGCTCTACTAGCCTGGTCATGCTCCAGTCTATCTGTGTTTCCGCTCATCACCGCTGACGATGGACATTTATGCTGCCGGTAAACAAGCTTCGACGTCTCGCGCAATCCTTGTGGCTGGCCGTGAGCCCCCATGTATAGTCGTTCCCCGGAAGATGTGGCCTCTGCCAGTGCAGATATGATGGCGATATTGTATTCATGGGACCGTTCTGCCCAGCGAATCTCGATGACGCTGGAACACTTTGGCGATGGGACCGGCGGATAGGCCTGGGGTCGAGTATGGCGACGGTGTCTGAGGCGAAGAGTTGACCGCAATCCATCCCATGCTATGGCAGAACGAGTACTACACGCGGGTTATCTAAAGCTGCAGCTTCTTTCTTCCATTAAGCTGACGGTGATGTTGCTGACGCCCCGAATGAAGGCTGAGGAATTGATCACGTCGTCGCTTGACGCGCTCGTCGATGGATTATGTAGCGTGTTGCTCCTTCTCGCTGGGATAGACTTATTGACGCCTTTCTCTCGAAGCTATGGTGCGGTGTCGTGGGCGGTTGTGCACTCGGCTTGTTGTTGCGAAATATCGATTCGGGATCTGCGCCGACCTTTTCGTCAACCAGATTCGTTCTGGGTCTTGCACGTGCCGTCAGATTCTTGCTCCCGTTGTCTTCATCAAATCCAATGCTCTTCATGACGATGTCTGTCAGTCGAAAGTGCGGCTGCGCTCCCAGTGGCGAAGCGCGAGTCTCAAACTTCGAGCTTCACTTCGTGGGAAACATCCCTGCAACGCGCGCTGTGGGTCCCACACTCGTGTCTGTCGCTTGGACGAGTCACAACAACTTCTCATCGCATCACTCGCCGACACACAATTCACCTTCCGCACCATACGCATCGACCGCGCCAACAAGCACAGAAGTAGCGCTCGCCGACCCATCGAGTTCGATTGAAAACCCACCATCACAGCCGCACTCGCGTCACTTTCCTCAATGGCTTCGAACAGCAACACCGCCAACAAGAAAGTCGACGAGAAAGTTAACGCTCCACTCACTCCAAAGGAGATGGGCCGTAAAGGCGACTTGCTCGACAAGCTCACCGGCAGCTTCAACTTCTTCTACCACACCATCCCAGAGAAAGCGAAGGCGGCCAAGCAGAAGATCAAGGAGTTGAAAGAGGGCCCAAAGAGTCGCCCAGATCCGAGATTGGCAGGATTGGGCAAGCGTAAGTCATTCTCTTCCTACTGTGCGCGTCGCTTAATGTATCACTCTGAGCCATTGCTGACCACTGTATAGCCCACGAGAACTACGACATGCCGGACTGCGACCAGAGCCTCGAGAGCGTGCGCGAGGGGCCGCAGTAGCAGGAGTCGTGGGGACAGGGGAACACACTTGCACGAGGGCTGAGAATCCGCCCGCGCTCTGCGCTGCAGTGTTTGACGATGCGATCGAGCGTGGTGCCAGGAGTCAATGGGCGTTTAAGGGGTTTGCCAGAAGGCCTTCGCGTCACCGCTGGAACTAGTTCACTGAATTCGTAATTCTTCCAAAAAAAATTGTCGTCGTGTTGCCATATTTCCCTTGCGGTCTCCTTTTGCTTGCTTGTGACAACATTGTTCGAATGCTTCTGAAGCCATGTCCGAAGACAGAGCATCGGCATGTAACATCTCCAAGCAGTTCATGTGCTGGTCGATATTAGAATCAACCCACAGTCTGCGGTGTCTCCAGCCTGCTGTATTGTAACTAGGCTGTCACAGCAAGAGACCCCCCACCGAATCGATGTTAGGCGCAACCTGAGTGACCGGTGATGGCCCAGCTGTGGTGCACTGGTCGTCGGAACGACTTCGTACCAGCTCATGTAGGTGTGCATTGCGGCTTCATGACACCTGTAGGCGTTGCGTAGGGGCTATAGAAGTTGCAAGAAGATGCGCAGGTGTGCTGGAACGGAGATGCGCCGAGAATGGCGATCTGCACAGTAAAGCAGTCAGTGAGAACGCGAATACACATCAGGAGAATGGCTGCTCGCTGGCCAGTGGTGCCAACAGGACAACTTGCGTGCGATGACGGCATTGAGAAATGAGGTATATATTTCGGTCCTCAATCGTTGACAATGTAGATAGGTCTATAGGTCATATAGCTTTAGCTAGTTAGAGCGCTTGGTCGGAGGAAACCGCCTGAGCTGTCGCCCGCCTGCTGCAATAAGCAGGCATCGTCGTATCGAAAGAGCACCCGCTAACATCATCGAACTAGTCAATCAAAATTGTAACAAATCAAGCGCCCTAAGGCATTGGATTTAAATCTGCACATCAAATTGTTCACAACGCAACAATCAAAGTCTTCAAAATGCAAGACTATCATTTTTTTTGCTGCTTCGTTGCGTGGAGTGCCCGCAAGAGTAACGACTGAGGGCCAAGGTTCGAACCCCTGATACACAGCAGCTTTTTTGCACCACGCCCTTTGCCAACTACATAATGTTCCGCCTCGCGCAGTTGCTGCACACATTCATTTTGGAAATTTTAACGGTGAAGCACTGCTTATATTCTGGCTCAGGGAGGTCTTGCCCTGTTCGCGCGAACAGGCTTATGGCATGTTGCGCAGGGAAGCATTTCTGCGCATACGAGTAGAAGACTCCACCGCGGTAGCCGTCAGAACGCCATCTGCATGTCGTAATGCACACGGGAAAGACAGTGCACGGGGTGCACCCAAAACCATTTCAAAAGCAAGTAAGCCCATGTTGACCGCCAGATGTCCCATTCATTTGTTGGAGCTTGAGAGATACGTATAGCGAGCTCAGAAAACGCACCGAACAATCTTTCGCCGATGCTCCATACTTCAAGTGTCCTCCATCCTTGGTCGCTCAGCGAAACACAGCAACAACCACGTACGAGCCGCACCGCCAACACAAAAGTCCAACGAATCGCTGTCTTCCATGAGCCACCTTCGATTCCTCAATTCGCGCAGACGTCGTAACTTTCACTGACATGCCGCTCTGCATCAAGTCTCTGACCCCCTTCCGACCGTCACAAAACCGCTGCAGCCATCCGATGCGATTCAAACCGCCTAGCACCACCAACGAAGACCCTTCGCGCCGAACGCTAGGAGTGGATCCTGAGAATCAAGCTTCCGTAGCTGCAAGAGGAGGAAGGACAAAGAGCAAGAGGCGGGAAAAGAGACGAACACAACAATAAGGCTCATAAAGTTTCTTCTTTGGAATGTCGACCGATGTTCGATCTCAGCTACAGTGCGGCGCACTTGAGCCACATGCCCTCTGCTGGACTCAGTTACTGTGGCGATCCGCAGTGCGGCAAGGGCATAATTTTGCCGGGATCGACGGTCGCTCCTGAATGCGCGAAAGTCTCCGTTCTGCTGCCGCAATCTACGGGGTCGATCTACCTCTTCCTGTGCGCGCGAAGGCATCAACGGTCTTATGGCCACTCCCTCCCGCAGGCGCGCCGCCTGCTGCAGTTTCCGTCCACCAATGTTGCATCCACAAGGTGGGGACAGTGAATTCAGATAGCAGATTCAATTGTTCGCCAAACACAAGCGGAAGGAGCTGCCAGCGAGAGTTTGGGACAACCAGAGCTTTGAGATTGGTAACCACAGCGGTAGCGGGAAATCTGAGGGGCATATCGAAAACAGCAATGCTGTTTGGGGGCTTCAATTCCGCAGCGCGTCTGGAACCACCGGAAACTCCATTTGAAGATCTATCACAGACATTCTAGACATATCAGACCACATATCGATACAAAGGACTAAGATCACCCAGCTCCAGCAACTGCTGCTCCGTGTATTGAATGCGAATCGACGATAACGGGATCTTGTCGCGCGCTGCATTGATCTTCAACAGTATGTGTCTGTTGAGCAACGCCGCGATAATACCGCTCACAAGCACACCAAGACTGAAGCCGAAACCCAATGGGTACCTGGGCGCCTCTTTCTCGAGATAGATGTTGGCACCAATCGAACCACCAAGATTAGCCAGCGCGCACATGCCGGCCAGGCCAATGGCTCTTCGCCACGATGGCGCAAGGTTGTTTGCAAGCCATGCGATTTGCGCGTTCAGGCCGCAAGAAACTGTTCACAATCAGCAAGGAAGAGTCGGGAGGATGGCTAAAATACTTACGGCCGAGCGGAATGAGATACAAGAAACCATAAGTCAGTCCAGGAAGCTTGGGGTGGGGGATGCATAGAAGAGCAACGAAACCGACAGCTGCAGTGGCATAAGGATAAACGATGAACTTCCATCGAGTCTGGCGAGAGTCCGCATAGATGGCGAGAACCAGAGTGGCGACGCATGCCAGCAGATAAATTGGCACTGTGAGGAGTTGAGCCTGCCATGTCTCGTAGCCGAGCTCCTTGATGATCGTTGGGCAGAAAAAGCTGAAGGCGTAGAATGGAATCGACTGTCCGCAGACGATAACTCCAGCAATCAAGATCCTCCAGTCGGTCAATGTCTTGACCAGGTATTTCATGTCGAAGCGCTCTCCATTGTTGATCACATGGCCTTCTTTGGTACCCGCATCCTGGTCCAGGCGACGGCGGAGAATCACTTTCTCGTCTGGCGTCAGGAACTTGCAGGTCTCAGGAGAGTTTGGCAGGAGGAAGTAGCTGCAGAATCCGACCACGATCGTTGCAGCGCCTTCAATGAGGAAGCTGGTCAGGCAGTCAGCTTTGTGGTCCATCAATCAACAGATCTGGGATACTCACATCCATCTCCAGCCTTCATAACCGCCGGCGTCGATCTTCTCCAATCCATATGCCAGGAGACCGGAGAAGGCGCCAGCCAATGTTGCTGAGCACCAGAACAATGCCACTGCCAGAAAGTCAGACCTTGACTCGGGCTGAAACAAGCAAATGTGACCCACCTCTGAACTGATATTCGAACCTGCAGTACCACAGCGTACACAAGAATTGTGCCGCAGGCATGAAGCCTGATTCGAACAGTCCCATGACTGCTCTCGCTGCCATAAGCTCTCCTTTTGTCTGTACCCAACCATGGCACATCATCGCAGTACCCCAGCAAATCATCAAGAACGACATCCAGAGCGAGGGTTTCACCTTCTTGATAATCATGTTCGACGGTATCATGCCGAATGCGTAAGGGAAGAAGAAGACTGTAAGCGCGATATTGTAGTCGTGTCCCGTCATATGCAATGTCTTGGTCATGCCGGCGATTTTGGCATTGCCAACTGTGGTCCGATCAGCAACCAGCTCAAGAGCAAGGCACTTCTGCAGAGCATACTGTTGGAGCGATCCAGGAATGACAGCAAGTAAAGCACAGCAAGCAACGTCGGCAGTCGATAATCGACCTTTCTCAGGATTCTCTTCACTTCTTTATCATGGTAGTCGGGAAGCTCATCGTCGCCCAGACCTTTGTGCTCATTGTGTCGGATGATGGTAGCAGCCGATCCATACGGGTCGTTCTTGGAAAGCAGTTTGTCCTCCATATTCTTTGGCATGCTGCGAATGTGATTGACGACACGAACAGGCTCCATCCACTGATAATATCAATTGGGAGATGAGAGAGATGCCCGGAGGAAGCACGGGACAACTTCTCGTATATGCATGCTCCTTCATCACGGTTCTTGCCGGTAGACCGGCCTCAGCCAGCTTTGCGAGACAGAACGTTGTTCGACAAGAGGGCTTGAACCAGGCCAAAACGACTAATCCGAGTAGTCCGCCTCATGGGATGTGCTGCAAATCATAAACTTAGATCTGGGGATCATGGGGAATTGACATGGATCAGCCCCGTGTCGGCCTGTCAATCTTCACATCCTCAAGGATCTTCCCTGCGACACAGGCCAACCAACAAAACGGACCGCTTGACTCGCGTAGCAACAATGGCAGCTGCACGAGGAAGAGAGAAAAGGAGTCGATTCGAGTGTTTGCCGATGCTGTTATCCGAGCCGAAGACACCATCCGAGCGTTTGTGCTTTGTCTGGAATGGATCGGAAGTGGGATTCGAGTGTCTCAAACCACAACATGTCGAAGTTTTCAGCCCTATGCCAGTGATGAGTAAGACAGCATAGCAGATGATAAGGTGTCTGCGCTGTCCTTCTTCGGCTCATTGGTAGCTGTACGTGAGAACGGAATCTCACCGCGGACCGGACATGGATGCGTTTCACGAGCGTCAATGTCATCGTGCTTGTCGGGAGTTTTATCGCCAAGTTGCTTGCGTGCTGTACAAAATTGGAATTCGAGCGCTTCTCCGGCAACTTTACTTCGGCACCGTTGCTTGGGGCGCCAGCGATGCGCCAATGGCAACACCCGCTCAAGAATGCCACTTCACTCGCAGCTCTGCGTAGCAGCATCCATTCAAAATAGTCTTCAGTACCGTAGCACTTGAAGCAGCACATCCGCGTGAAGTCTTTAACGCATTTGCGCCACCGCATCTTTCGAACACCGTGAGCCACGGCATCTTTGACTTCCGAAGCAGAGGTCCAGAAGCGGCCGCTCTTGCAAGAAAGTTTTGCATAGTTCCGACAACAGGCACCTGCTGTTGCCTGTAAGCAGACTGTTCCTGGAGATGTACTCGTGAACACAGCCAATACCCTGGCGTAGCCTTGATCACTTCTGGCCCCCTCTTGCTTCGAATCACTGCAGCCCTCGCCGGGATGAAACGTGAGGGCATCGTGACGATGGCCTGTCCGCTTACCACGTTGTGCAAACCCAACACATCGTCATTACCACGTGTTCGTGTAGCAATCATCTTCACCTTGACGTTGAATTTGGGTGATTGAGCTTGTTGCTCCTCTGGGACGGTAGCGCGAGTTCGTATGCGGGATCGCTGCCGGGGCTCGAGCGCCGAGCGCTGTTCCTGATGATCGACGTGCTGTCATGTAAGCACTAGCTAAGGAGTGAAGTGCGGCTGCTTGGCTACGGTGGTGCGATGCTTCTTCAAATGGTGAGATTGGCGCTGCTAGGGTCTTGAGAAAATGCCAAGTCGTTGATGGTGACTAGCTGCTGCCATGCTGGACGTTGGTCGCAAGTTCATTCTCCTGGTGTTCGAAGTTATCCTCACTTCGACCAACACATCGTCTAATGGTACGTCTGCCAACGCTTTAGGGCTCTGAACCTTTCAGCCGCACGATTGTTCCAGATAACTGACCCCTGTATCTGAGCAAAGAAAGCACAATGCTGAAAAAGAGTTGAAGATGTACGGCATCATCGCTGTAAGTCATCTGCATATGAGCTGCGTCTATGCAGGTGTGGTACAGCTCAAGGTTCTGGTATCAACGTTGCGCGCAAAGCGCGGCCGTGGTATATGAATATGCAGCGAAGCTCCGATCGCGGTGTCAGCGGCACTCTTTGCCGGCTTGGTACAGTCCACGCCGAGAGCAGCGCGTTTCTCAGCTGTAGTCCTGGAACGACAAGGGCAGCTATGACACAGCTGATCAAGAGACTGGAAAGCCCCAGATGATATGCAGCGCGACATGTCCCATTAGCCTGGCCTGTAATGTCTCGATTACGTGTCCAAGGACTTCGCAAGTTTTCTGAGCGCAACCTTGTAAATGGGCGCTGCAAGACAATCTTTGCCGTCAAGGCATCAATTGCCACCAGCCGAACCAAAGCTCTGTCCCTGAAAAAGAGGTCAGAATGTTCCAATATGTCGAAGATTGGTGCAGATGACTTACCAGATTGCTGCTGTATCTCCGGGAGATGGGCTCATTCCCCATGCCAATCGGGATAGAGATCTTTCTCATCACTCTTCTTGAGTTTCTTCTGCTCAAAGCAGGAGCAGAAGCACCTTCAGACCTTTCGGTCACTGATGTTCGCCTGCTCTTCGTTCGACCCAGATTTCCAGTCTCGGAGCCTCGCCTGCTTGCCTGGTCGTCGTCCTCGCCATCGCTCATCAATGCAGCTGAAGCAGTCGTGCTCGTTCGTGTCAGAGGCGCTAGACCACCATATGACCGCTCTGCCTCGTCGTCTTCTTGCACAGCATTCTGCTTCGAAGCTCCGTTTGTGGCTGGAACCTTGCCTTGCGCTTCAGCTCCACCTTCTGCAGCGGCTGCCAGCAGTGCCTCTTGCTCCTCTTCCTCTTCCTCTTCGTCTGATACTTCGTCATCTCCGCCGAAGCCTTCGCCTTCGACCAGCCACCAGATGGGAATTGCTCCTACTGCCGCAATGGCAGCCTGTAACCACCATGGTGCAATGACATAGCCTTTCTTGACACCAATGCTGAACACAGCTCCACCTATAGCAGGTCCTGCAGCTCGGCCAATAGCAGAAACACTGGTCGCGATACCGTTGAGCGTGCCGAGTGTACGGAGACTGGAGGCTGAGTTCGTGAGCATGATCGTGGAGCATGGAAACGCAAATATTCCACAGAGGCATTTGACGAGCATGATCAGGAACATCGCAGACACTCGGGTACGCGTAGTCGGGAGTAGCGCCTAGAAGCGGCAAGCGCTGGTCAGTATTCTGCGCAAAATGAAGCACACGATCGTTGCACTGGACTGCTTGCTTACCGCGAAGGGGGTGGCGAGGTAGACGAAAATGAACACGATCGACACCACTTTCAACCAGAACAGCACACCATACTTCCTGGCCAGGGGCGGGAAGACGAGGAACTGCACTGGCAGGCCGAAGATGCCGTAGCCTGTAGACAGCAGACCAATTTGAAAATGATTGAGGCCGAAGCCACCAGCAAACTTTAGCGGTGCTTCGTATGGCGTGCCGTGTGGGGCGTCAATCGGGTCATGCTGTAGGAACACTGGCAGAAGCTGGTCAAAAGCCATAGCGTGCATAGCAAGTAGCGTATAGACCACTAAGTTGATCACTGCTTGGCGATTGAGAACCTCTCGCCAGGATGGCGGAGCAATGCGAGGTTTGCTTTCGAAGGCGACATTTGCCTCAGAGTCATCTGAAGACGTAGGACGTTTCAACAGTGGATCAGTCTCGTCGTTTGTGTGTGATTGATCAGGTTTGGTCCGAATGTGCAGGATTTCCTCAAGCTTGAAGACGTAATATTTCACAGCTTTCGATAGTTTCTTTCCCAGAATCAAGCCGTAGTCCCGCCTGCCTTTCGCCGTCTCCAGTGTTTCTTCGAGAAAAAGAATGCCTGTTGCTATCGATATGGCAAAGAATGTCGCGCTGACCAGGTTGGGAAGTAGATAGGGAAATTGCGCAAAGAGATTCGCACTTCCTACCTTCTCGCCAGGCTTGACATTCAGTGGATTTGCGAGCGAGCCTCCAACTGTTGGGCCAAAGATGCTGCCTAGCAGAGGTGTCAGCATGCGTTGCAACGCGCATTGTCTATTGTCCATATTGTGCTTACCTATGTTCCATACCAAAGGCATCAGACTGAATGCCCTCGGCTGCAGCTCTTTGAAAGGCACCATTTCGGCCACAGTTGTCCTGATTATGCCCACGTTGCCATTGCCGGCTCCTTGCAATGCTCTTGCTACAATTGCCAACGGCAAGCTCTTACTGAATCCCCAAAGCAAGCTCATAAGCATGGTAGAGGTCAAGCCGAGGAGGATGGCAGGTTTGCGGCCGTATCGATCCGAGAAGCGTCCCCATGGTATGCCCATCAAGGCTTGGAAGAGCGAGAAGACCGCTGCACATATGCCTGCCCATTTTCCAACCTCATTTTGCGGTATACCGAACGATTCGACCATCTCCGGGAGGTATGGATACAGCGAAGTCGACGCAAGAGGCTCGGCGAAACGACATATTGCTATGTGAACAATTGGTTAGCCTCTGTCATGACTGTGCGACATGCGGCGCATGCTGTGCTGCTATGGCGTCCATCATGGCGTTCTTCTGTCTTTGCCATGCACTTCCTGGCCATGCAGCCTCAAATACCATCAAGACCTCTGCCATTGCTGTGCGAATCACTTACCGAGGATTGAGAGCTGCTGAACGGGCAGCTTCCGCTCACGGCGTTGGGCAGAAACCATGATGTTGTTGGCGAATCTGCCACTGCTGCCCGCGGGAGTTTTCAGCAACCTTTGCTCGCCAGCCCATCTGAAGACAGCAAATCAGAAAGGTCTCGAATGGCGAATATCGCCGACCCACCAAGGGTGGAACATACAGGGCGTGCTTACGCAGGGCGGAGGCCGAATGGGTCTCGTGGTCGACGCCGTCTTCGGCCAAGCAACACAAGTGGAGTCTCGGTCTGTCGGTCCGCTGCTGGATTTGTCTTGGTGCCCGACTTCACCTCTGTCTTCACATGAACCACTGGTGAATGCAATCGATAAGATGGTCTTTCAAGAACACTGACAGAACATTCCAGATGAACATGCCGCGTGTCACCTTTGTACCAAGCCGATGGTGGTTTTGTTGCGGCGTTTGAGAACTGCGACATCGGCGACGCGGACACGAAGCATCCTGGTCACCATCATCTTGCGAGTCAGACCGAGATGAATAAGTAACATTGATGCTTCGATGCTATGTTTCGATACTAAGCAAGGCTTTGTAGCTGGATGTCTGGCAGACCTTTCCTCAAGTTCCGTAATGTTCACGCCAGCACCTGAACGAGAAAATCGGAAACTCGAGACTATGTAATGCGCTGCAGTTGATGGTTCCAGAAAGATCCGTACAATGCGCCAGGACCCTTTGTGCATACCTGCAATCCACCAGCAAGAAACGCTCTCCGTCCCAGCTTATGCCCTGCCCTCATGACCCCATATCTTGTGCCTAGGCCAACCGCAATGAATCAACGGACATCATATAGGCTGTTGGATGATCGAAGGCATTGATATGCAGCCCGACGTAGCTGCAGACGAGTACCCCGATGGCCATTGCCACCTCTCATGGTGTTTTCATGCAAGGTAAGACTCACTTCTGCCCTCGAATGCCGTTTTCTCATTGTGTCCTGCTCATTACAGGACCTCAGCTGGGTGCCACTGCCGCTGCATTGCCTCGTGGTTCGACGATACTGTGGCCTGGCGTGTTTCAAGGTGACCAACACAACGATACTGTGCGCGACTTATTCCAAGTGCTTTCGTAGCTCTTCCTGATGCTCGTTCCAGCTGCGCTGACGTCAATTTCGCTGGTCCTATCTGAGCGCGAGCGGCAGGTGGTGGAGGTGGACGAAGGATCCAGCGTTGGAAGAGCGTCGCGGTATGAAGGATCAGTTGTAAAGACCAATCGAGCTCGAGTGTAAAGGCTGCATGTGCGTGATACTTCGTGCTATATGCTCGAGAGTCGGCGTATGCGTTCTGGCTTCTAAGCGCTCGATCGAAGAGTGGAGTCCGGCAGCCAGAACGACTCTGACGATGCTGATAAGATCTGATGCAATTTCAGCGTCGCGAAGGGTGTGGAAGTCTTGACCAAATGTCTTGACTTTGTTGTTCAGAATGAATTCAACGATACTGACCATCAGGCGCGGGTCAATCCGACTTGTTTGCCCTGGCTGAGCAACGACGGTTGAAATCGGCGAGCGCCCGATTGCTTTCAGTAAACGTATCTCTGCAGCAGCATCAATAAAAGGACGTGGTTAATGATTCAGAGCCATGGTATCGCCGCGTGAAGAACGCAACTCGTAGAGCTGTGAGCTACACTTCAGGGCAAACTGCACCTCACGCGTTAGTGCCTGACGATCTCCACGTCCCACCGTTTGGCAACGATTTTGATCAAAACAATCAGAAAGTGCGCTAAAATCTTTCCCCCCTCCGTTGCGTTTTCCACTCACCAACAACGACCTCATCAACAACACCCTTGCGCCCTTTCCATCATCTTCACCTCACTACATCTTCGACACATCTCTTCTATCACATCATTTCTTCCGCTGCACAAGCGCCACCCCTGACTCCACCGACCGCGCTCGTTGCCGTCAACAGCACTGGCTTCCAATGGGTGAGTGTCTTGGTTCTTCCCCAGCACGCGCCTGACTTGGCAATGATGAACACAACGCGCTACACACTACACACTACATTTCAGTCAACAGATAGGGAGCCTTCACAATATGTGCCCTTGTCGGAAGGCGTTGACCGCAGCAGCGAGATTCCCGATGCCACCGTCGCAGCTGCTCTGAATTACCTGTCCCTTACTGGTGAAGACTTCGCTGACATTTATGGTCTTCATTTCCAGATACTTCCGTCGCCGACAACCAGGCCAGCACTTCAACCCACGTACGTGCCCGTCCCCACCCTCCCATTTTGCTGACACCGTCACGCCTCGTTGCGATGGACAATGATTACAACAACTGCTTACACACCTTGATCTACTACACTACTTCATCAACTTGGAGCTCCTTGCGAGCAATGACAAAATCAAGATCAGTCTGAGCCCTCCTTCGTCGCTGCGGACCTCCAGATCCATCTTTAGTCGCTTGACATTGGCTGGCAACACATCTTCTCTACAGATCCCGCGCGAGCTGGTACCATCTTCCCAACGGTCGCAACTGAACACTCGAGTAAGTACGTGCCACCAGACCTCCCGGCGATCGATGGTCATTGATGAACCTTGACTAACTTTCACAGTCTGTGTCAGAGCTCGTTCGACTTCTCGCCGGCGCTCCCATTAGCGACACTCAGCGTTCTACAATCGGTGAGTGCTATGTCTCCCTGGAGCACGCCTCACTCGGCGATGACTATACCCCAGTCCCTTCATTCTACATTGAGCTAAATTCAACCGGAAATTATTCACCCGGTATGAGACATCTTGACTCTACCTGGGTGGATTTGCCCACATCTGAAGGGAACTATGAGCCGCCCTACGGGGTTCGCGCAGCATTTTTCCAGAAACCGATTCTGGTCGCTGGAAATTGGCTGACGCGCTTTTGCTTCTTGACAGACTACCTATTCGAAGACCCTCAGCAATGAGCTTGGGCAGCAACATCAGTGAGTTCGACTCTTCAATTCAATGGTGTTTTCATCAATCGCTGACATTCGCTGCAAAATACAGGTCTGATGGTCATAACGACATCGCCCCTGGCAACAAATCCGGCAAGGCATTTCGCACCATCAGCACTCGGCAAAAATCTGACGATGCCAGCTGAAGAGCAGTCTCGAGGTACGTTTGCTGCCACCCATCATCAACTACATCACCTGATGACACCCAACACATATCACCCATGCACAGAAGTGTCTGTTGACAACACACCATCGCTCTGACGCGCGTTCCTCACACTTGCCTTGACAAAGCACCTCTTGATCATCGAACAACACACTAACATCTTGCATAAATCTTTGACGTTGCTGCTCCCGAGCATAGCGCCCAAAATTAGTCAGCCAATCCCCGAGAAGTCACCAAGGCCGAAGGACTTTACGGAGATCAGCCCTCCATCTCAGTGGAATGAGGTGAGTTCAAATCTGGATATCCGTTCCGTGTTCTATGATGATTGGCGTTATTCGTCATCGTACAGATGGTGGATGTGTTGAGAGTGCCCATGAGTCTGAGGAGACTTTCACGCGTGGTCTATTTTCTGTTCACTCGCTTTCGGGAAAACACGCTGACCATCCACCTTCTTGCCACAAGATCATCTCCTCAATATTCACCAGCCTACGCAAGTTCGACAACGTCCGTAAGTACGGACATCCTCTCCCTCCCCTCACGCTTTGCATGATTACATCGATAACTGCATATAGCTTACCCACTGGGTCGTCTCCCTTTCCAGAAGGGTGGCACCCGAGTGGACGTGCCATGATGAATTAACCTTTCAATACACACTCGATCTCCTTTCCCATATATGACACTCTACTTCGGCCCGCTTAAGCTCGTGCACTTCAGTCGCGAACTTATACTGACGCTCTGGGCACCACATTTGCAGGATGAGGCGTTGTTCTCCACCGAAGGATGGACTCCACAGAAGCTTCAAAGCAACCCCTCGAGCCCGATGCAATACCCAACGCCAAGACGAGCGTCGATCACGCAGAGGGAAGTCAAGTCCCCCTTCTCCCTCCCCCACTTCCAATGATGATACCCATATCGTTCGAGTGATTGCCCCCGCAACATGATCACAACCAAATTATCGCAAATTCTATCCATCTGATACTGCGCATCTGCACTCGATCACCGAGCAACCTCTTTGGTAGCCCACCATTGACTCATCTCGTAGGAATCTGCATCAAGCCACCTGGATTACGCGGTGCATCACTTTCATCTGGTAAGTTCTTCCCAGTCCATTCAACAATACAACTCGCTACCAGCAAGATGATTTCACAAATCCATCAAAAATTGTGCCCTGAATATCGGCCCTCCGAGCGTTGACGAGAAATATTATTTCTGACTCCCCTTTCACTGTTGCAACAAGCACATTATGGAAGTTTCGATCGATCTCATAGCTAATGTTGCACAGGCTTTTGCGCTCACAGCAATGCGACAAGACGAATCGCGTGCATGCGAGCCGTCCTTGCACATCCGCAGCAGCGATACCGACCACGACTCAACGAGATCATCGTGCTTTATCCTTCAACAGCGGTAAGTACAGCCCCCTCCTCAACTCCTACCCAAATGATGAATCAAAGCCAGTCATGTAGTACAGAATGCTTTTGTTGAAAAAAGGTTTTCTGATTGCCATGCATTTGCAGTCTCAATAACATGCTTTAGGGATGAACATCTGCTGATGAAGTTGACAGAGACCTGATTTTCTTTAATACCGCGCCGCCACATCTTACGACGAGTCGACTTGAGAAAAAGAGGTGGACAGTGGTAAGGAGGACAACGGAAGGGTCGCAGTTGTTACTTGTGCTGGATATGACAATACTGGGGATTGATTGCAATGAAGAGGGAAAGAGGTGGAAGGGGATTTGAGATACTCGCAGCTTCAGCAGCGCTTGGGTCAAGAGGGTTCGCTGCTTCGAGGCAGTAGTCGTGTGCCACAAATTTGGAAGGACATTGTTCTATTTTGTAGTACACGTATCTTCACAGACAGTGCTATCTCACAGCTTCGAAGCACTCTCCAACGCATCAGCTCTCGATATGACCGCCAATCTCCTTGGCCCCTCCCTCTTGAAGTCCACCAACACACACTGATCATTAGGCCCTCTTCGATCTGTGCCTTCCAGCTCGGGTCCAGGGCGGTTCAATGCAAGGACCTGTCGTCCATCTTCACGCTTCTTCCCGTAAGGAGGAGGCATCGTTGTAGGAGAAATGCACGATTCAACAAATGAAGGGTCGCCGGACTTCGCAAAATCCAACAGCCTCTTGCGTCGCGCTTCCAACTCTTCTCGCGGGACTTCTTTGCGTGAGACGGAGCCATAATCTGAGGGAGATTTTAGGTCGTCCAGGAACTGCGCAACGTGATGAAGGAGGAAGAACTGTGGCGGGAACAAGATTATCCGCCCTTCTTGAGCGAGTCTCAGCCACGCTGATGCAGGTAAGAATCGTGCTGTAGTGTGCTCTTTGCCGCCGTCTGTTGTCGGCGAAGGGATAGAGACCTCAGCTTCGGAATCGTCGGGGTTGCCAGAGCCTTCTGAGATAGGCGTCGAAGAGAGTGTAGGTAGGAAATACAGGTACATCTGAGTGGTGAATCTTTTCGGCACGTTCGTTGGCGTAACCCATCTCGTGAAGGGTGTCAGGCCTTCAGTATCTGCGCGACCACCCTTCTGAGATAGCCATTTTGCGAAAGGGACTTTACTGCCGTGAACAAGCAACCGACCTTCTTCCCGCTGGTCTTGCGGGACCTCAATCAATCTGCCAAAGCCGTTATTTCGCGCCAAGACGATGCCGGACTCTTCGAATGTCTCTCGAATGGCAGCCATGCGGTACACCTCGCTGTCTTTATGCCGCTCTGGGTGATCTGGCTCCGGTGCGCGGCCATCGTGGAACTCTGAAACGTTGCCGCCAGGAAAGACGTGAGCCGAGGGAAACGAAGAAGACTGCTTGACGCGTTGCAGGAGAAGCACTTGGTTGTTGGGCGAGATGAGGAGAACACTGGAGCTGGGTCTTGGTATGGCTGGAGTCTTCTTATCTTTGGGCGGAGTTGTGGAGTAGCTCTTGACCGATGTTGCTGCTCGCTTCTCTTTCGGAGGCATGTTTAAGGATGTCTGACGTAGGAGGCCGTTTCTGGCAGGCTGGTCTTGGCTTGAGGCAGTTGACAAGTTTCTGATGGGTATTTGCGCCAACGACAGATTCTTCAATGGAATGTGGACTGTCCTGGAAGTTATCAGCAGTGACATGGCCTGACAGAGTCAGTTTGCTAAAGGTCTGGTAGTAAGAGAGATGTGGTAGCGCAGGCGTGGCGTGGATGAACGGCTGGGCGGGGAGAGTTTTGCCGCAAGCCGAGGCCGAGCAAGGACCATTCACTCACCGTCTGACACTTGCTGCTCGCTTTTCATGTGATCCCATACAGCTATGCTATGCTATACCATGGCCTCCACGCTTGTCTGCATGCTATCACTGTTCCATCCCGACCTTCCAAGATGAAGTGGACACCCTGCCGTGACAATTTGGATGCAGACGATGGGCCGATTGCCGTAGGATCACGTATGCCGCGCCATTGGCACGCAGGCGAGTAGGTTCGGTAGCGCGCCCATCGCGACGGGTTGAGTATATATTGTCGCAAACCTTGCTGCTTCTGCAGCGGCGTCATCGTCAACTTCACACTGTACAGCAGAGAACACGCATCACAAGCAGTATCGCAAGACCACCACGATATCCGACAGCATGTCCAGCACCGCCGTATCAGCCGCGCCCGACGCGAGCCTTTTCGTTCCCTTCACGCAGACCTTCGTCCAGACAAGCGGCAGCGAGACGTCCACTGTGGAGTACACTTTGGTGGGACAAGTCCTCGACAACGGACAGACCAACTGGGTCGGCTACGATGAAGGAGGAGCAGAATACTTGTACACTGGCTCGGTTGCGAACGCACAGCAGACGACCCTGGCCGGCGAGGTGTACTATGTGAGCAGCGGCGATGCTCCAGCCGGATACATCGCGACCGCTTCAGGCGTTGAAGGATCCATGACCACTCAAGCGGCCGAGAGCAACTCTCCCAGCAGCACGAGCGGCTCTGGCGACGACAGCAGCGCGACTGGATCGAGCAGCCCGGCCGAGAGCGAATCGTCCTCCAACACCGGATCTGGCGCATCGGCAGAGACGAGCCAGCCAAACAACAGCCACCGCATGTCTGCTGGAGCTGCCTTCGCTCTGGCGGTCGGTCTTTTGGCCGTCATTGCCCTGTAAACTTAGGAAGTGAAGGACGAGCCATGAAGAAAGGGGCGAACGATGCGATATGAAGGATACGAGCAATACAGAAGTGGGCCAGAATTGACGACAGATGAGGAGGGGCGCCAGAACCTGTACAGTGAATGTAGTAGTAAAGACGCGCCGTAATGCTAATGCAAGTTTGCCCGTTGACGCAGCTTCAGTCCCCCGTCACGCGAAGCTTTGGCCTCTGCAAACTGAAGCCGACTCAAATCCACTGACAGCTTACACACCCACTTGACCTGAAGACCAGCGCGCACATCACACCACACACATCACAGAAGCACGCACCATGGCCGACAACAAGACGAGCCACGAGGAGAAGATCAGTCTCCTCAGGCAGATGAAGTCGCTGCTGGAGCAGCGCACAGCCCGTAAGAGCGCAACCCCTTCGAGCCACGCGAGCTCAATCTTGACGGTCCAAAGCTGACACCAGCGATCAGAGCACGACGAGCAGAGAGACCGGGCCAACAAGGCCGAGAAAGAGAACGTTGCCCTCCGGGGCGAGATCAAGTGGTTGTGGGAGGAGTTGACTGCTGTCCGCTCGAGAGGTAGGAAACGCCTCCAGCCATTGCATTTTCCCCGATCGAACAAATGACTGACCACCTAATAACAGAGCACAATGGCCAGCAGGCCATCTACGCCGTCGCCACCGGCTACCTCTCCGCCGCCAACGACCGCGCCGCCGCCGCCGAAGCTCGCGCAGAGAAGGCAGAGCAGGACGCCCACGTCCTGAAAGTCGCGCTCCAAGCGACAATTGGGCGCGCCTGGGGAGGTGATGGCCCCCAGCAGCAGCAGCAACAACAACAACAGCAACAGTAGGCGCTGTAAATGCCATTCTCCACCACCGCGGCCGCCATCAAGGCCACTATAACTAGATAGGAGAACACCACATACCATACCATAATTTTAGAAGCATACCGCTGCGGCGGTCCCTGCTCGGTTCTCCTGTCGAATCATCTTGACAGAGCTCCTTGGATTCCATATGGATGAGATTTGGGCATTGAAATGAATTTGAAAATCATTGAGACTGCTGACTTGAGTAGGACATTGACGCTCACTGTATCATGGCTCACCTGTTCGCAGGTTGACATTTCCTGCGAAATCGTGGTTACAAAGCTATCAAAGGTGCATCCGACTTTAAGAAGCATCTGATGAATTGGATGAGTCTTCACATGAGCAACTCCTCATCTGTGTCATTTGAAGGATCGCTCATTGACAAAGAAAGTCCGTGTGCATTCAGATGCGGATATACAGTCGATTATATCGATTCTGACTTCTGGAGGCAACTGGTTTCGCAGCAGGGGCGCGATCGAAGGAAGTAACTCCTAGTCTGATGCTTCTGCTTGTTCTGCAAATTTCAGAGCTGCTTAATATCGAAATAGAATATCGAACTCGGGTTTCACCCCTTTCGAAGCGATATAGTGAAGCGGCTGAGCAAGCAGGGTTCACGATCCTTCACCGGTCAAGCATGCAATCCTTACGGAATGTTAAGCGCCGTGTCCAAGAAGATTATTGGCGGTTCTCACAGTTACAGCACGACTCCCCGCGTACAACATATGTAATGCGCCACACGAGTGGGCTCGCTAAAACGGCGAAGCAAGTATAAGGATGATCGCACACCCACAATCATGGTCTGGAGATTTGGTCGACTGTCTTCCAACGTGCAACATCATGTTCATATCAAAAGCGAAACTCGTATACTTTCTTGTAATATCGTTCATTACCACCGCTTCCGCACAAGATCCTCAATGCTACTGGCCAAACGGCTCGCCCGACAATAGCTTGGTGCCGTGCGACCCTACCGGGTCCACCACCGTGTCTTGCTGTTACAAGAACACTTTCTGCACGCAGAACAACCTCTGTCTCGCAGGCGGTAACTACTACCGAGGCGGCTGCACCGATAAAACCTGGAGAGATGGGCGATGCACTGGAGCTAAAGATTGCGAGTCTGCGATTCCTTTCACCCAGACCATGATATATGTGTGCGGAAGAGATGGCGTTTTCGGATGTGATCGATCTGGCAACGGAGCAGCATTCGATTGTAGCCGGAATTTTACGCTCTCGGGGCCTTGGGATATTGTGCTACGAGCGGATCAGGTTCCTTCACTCAGTGGCAATAAGCTCATCACTGTGGATCCGACAGGAGGTTTGGAGAACTTGCCAGCTGCTACGGTTACGGTGACTACGACGCCTCCAGTGAGATTCTCCACGGTAAGGTTGCAGACGATCTGAGGATTGAAAATGGCGCTAACAACTCTTCTGGTGACGTCGAATGGTGTGACGAGCACTATTGCCATCACGAGCGTACCCAGTTCTAGTTCAGAGACAACGAATACCGGAGCTATCGCAGGCGGGACGGTTGGCGGAGTGGCGGGTTTGGTGTTCCTTGCGCTGGCTATTTGGTTTTTCATCGCTCGAAGAACAAAGTCGAAGAAGACGCGAGAGTTTGCGTCCAGTCATGCTGCGAATGAGCTGCCTGCAGCGAAAAGACCAAGTGAAGAGAAGCCAGCGCTGGGTGATTTTCACGAGGTCGACGGCCGTGAGGTACCAGCTGAAGTAGCGGGCGTGCCAGAACGAGTAGAGTTGGATGCCGGCTTTCGTGAGAGATGAAATGTACAGTGTAATAACGCAGAGAGCAAGGGCAATAAAGTGAGCATTGACTTGTTCCTCGGACGCATATCTGCTCGTTCATCGTGATCATGTCTTCAGGTCTCTCTTCCTCTAATCTATCGTGTTAACACCACACCGCAGAACAACAGTCTTCGTCAGCCAGACATTGCAGGTGGCCCTATAGCTGATGACACCAGCTGACCTGGCCTGCTCACCCAGTCAAAGGTGACCCTTGTCCGGCGAGCGCCTGTCCCGTCAAAGCAGCTCCCTTTTCTCCCTGCACGCCATTCGCAATCTTACTCTTATGCACCGCATGCGCCTTCTCAATGCGCTTCTTGTCATCGTCCGCATAAGTTCCAGACCTCAAGTTCACTGGAAGGCGTCCCATGTGGTCAGCGCTGAGATGCGGGGCTGATGGGTGTATGCATGTTGCTTATTGGGACTTCTTACCCTCCTTCTTGCCCGCGCTCAAGCTCGAGAAGCCAACGCCGTAGTTATATGTCAGGGTGCCACCGATATTGGCTCCCATCAGCAGGAGGCCGAGCGTGAGAAACTCAGCGAACACGAAAGCGCTGGATGGGGCGTATGCTGCAGCGGCGGTGCCTGGAATCTTGCCGGCGATTGTGTCGTTGACTTGCGCGCGGCGGCTGTACCAGATGTAGGTGGAGACAGCAATCACGATGTCGTTGGCGACGGCGTGGGCAATTGTGGCCTTGACCTTGGTTCGGACTGTCTTGCCGTCTGCTTCGTGCATGCCTTGCTTGCTGATCATCATGACAAGCTCGCGGCCGCCTGTGACGACTGCTGGAATGGCCGTCAACAGGCCCAGGGAGAGCAGATAGTAGGAGCTGCGCGTGATGTCGTTGGGGCCGAGGAGGGCATTTTGGGCGAATGCTGGGAGGGAAGTGCGGTACGTGTGGAGGATGTCGAGGGCGTAGGCCGTGAAGAGGAAGGCGATGGGGAAGTGGACGACCGCTGGATGTACTGGCCTGAGAATTGTCAGTATGGGGATGGTCCCACCAAGGACCTATATCGTCTACTCACTTGCCCATTGTTGCTGAGGTGCTACGAGCTGTTGGTTATGCTGCTGCAGTAGTCGAGAAAGCGCAGGAAAAGGCGCAGGTATGCAAAGGGACGGAGGATTTGATATATACTTGGCCTGATGTGTAGCTTCTTACGTTTCTCTGGCCAGGGCACAGAGCATCGCCTAATGTCGTGGAAGTGCTTCAGGTCCGAAGCCTGTCGTCGCATTTCCCAGGGATGCCGAAGCATCAGCTTCTCTCTTGCCCGCCTGATTGGCTGCGGCTGCCCATGTTCGGCTGGGGGAGCCGATGCTATTTTGGCGTCGACTTCTTTCTGCACAACGGCCGCTGCGAGAACGAGGACGAACTGTCGTTCACATGCACTGCTGCTGCAACATGTCGTCCGCCTCGGTGCCGAAGAGGAAATACCAACATTGTGCCAGGTGGTTACTGATGCTTTTCGGCAAGACAGACCTTCAACACCTTCCGTCCGACGTCACCGGCCAGACAGCACCTCTTCCAATCCGTTTCTGTCATGATGCTTAGCCTCGCCAGAACCTGACGGTCATGGAGCATCTGCTGTAGCGGTGTAGGTCGTGAGCTAATGGCCGTCGAAGCCAGAGGTTCAGCCGATACACGAAAATATTCGCAGTTCAATCTGGTCTCAAACTTTGCTCAGAACGGACGTATTGTTCAGCACCACATCACATGGTCCAGATATCAAGAGCGCCAGAAAGGCTACGTTGGGAAGCTGCTGAGTTTCAGAGAACCATATCCCACATGGCAGGTCAAGAGTACGAAAGCGCACTAGTTAGGCCCAACACAATGGGCCGCATTGAGCCTCAAGATCAAGTCTACGCCCTATGCTACATTTCTTGCTGAAGACTCACGTGTTCGTGACACAACGAGCATAGCTTTCATCTTCGGAGAATTACACGCTTACAGCAAATGATTGCCATTGGACCTACCAAATGGAGCTTGAGATAAGCTCTCCACATTTGGACCTTAGATCCTGCAGTGACACGCCCTTCGCATTGACCAAGTCGAAGGACATCACCGCACACGAAGAAGATAATTTCCTGCGTGTGTTCGACTTTTCAGCGCTGCAAGTATCATTGAAATTTTCGATTGGACTCGATCACGATGGCAGGACTACCAGTGCCTGTGCCAGCCCCAGCAAAAGAAACAATACTTTGCATTCCTGATCTTCAAGAAGCAGGAAGCAAGAAGCTAGACCCCAGCGTCAGAGGTATGCCGCCTTCGAGAGGCCGGTAGTGGATACTGATCACGATCGCAGGATTCTACAATAGCGGTTCAACAGATCAAGTCACCATTGCAGAGAATAATTCCGCTTACAACAAGTACCGCGTCCGCCCACGGGTCCTCGTCGATGTCTCCAAAGCAGACACATCGACCACATGCCTCGGTCGAAAGATCGCGTTCCCACTATGCGTCTCGCCCGCTGGAGTCCAAGGCGCAGCTCATCCAGACGGAGAGCTTGCGACATCACGAGCATGTGCCAAGAAGGGTGTGAATATGGGCATCAGCTCCTTTTCAAACTTCTCGACACATGATGTTCGCTCAGCTGGTCTTGCAATCGATAGCGGTATCGCCCACGCACAGCAACTGTACACCATGCTGGACCGCAAGCTTCAGCTTCAGATCATACGCGAAGCGGAGAAGCAGGGCTGTAAAGCAATATTGTTGACGGCAGACAGTCCCGTGCTCGGTGTTCGCTACCATGAATGGAGGACTGATTTTCGCGTTCCGAACCATCTGGACTTTCCCATCATTGGCTGGAAGAAGGAGGATGTTGCGAATAGGACACATGATGATGGATTCATGGGGTTCAACGATTCGGCTCACAATTGGGTAAGCGATCCGATCAGCTGAGTGACAAGACTGGCGTACTAATGGCATTGCAGGCACGAGAAATTCCTTGGCTTCGCAGTGTCACCAAGATGGAAATATGGATCAAAGGTGTACTGACGGCGGAAGACACGCTCAAAGCGGTTGAAATGGGCTGTGACGGGGTGCTTGTGAGTCGATCGCTGGCCCAACTTGGCTTGTTCCATACTAATTCGCCTACAGGTCTCGAACCATGGCGGTCGCCAATTAGATGGCGTCCCAGCAACCATCGATGCGTTACCCGAATGTGTTGAGGCCGCAGCCGGACGCATCCCTGTACACATTGACGGTGGTGTTCGAAGCGGGACAGACATCTTTAAAGCTTTGGCTCTAGGCGCAGAATGTGTTTGGGTTGGCAGGCCGATGCTCTGGGGACTAGCGGTAAGTACAACGCATGCTACGATGCTGAGACTTGTGCTGACACTTTCGTTAGTACGATGGCCAGAAAGGCGTCGAGCTCATGCTCGACATCCTACACACAGAGTTCAAACGTTGCATGCAACTTGCCGGGTGCAATACTGTCAAAGATATCACGAGGGCTTCACTCGGTGTGGTGAGGAAAGATGGCCCATTGGCTCGACTTTGATGCATTTTATCATGCTGTTCTCTGAGATCTTTGTCCTTTGCGACTAGAGGTCTAGATATGTGCAGGTCACCGAGGATGACCCGTACAGACAATAAGGAGAGTACTCTTTCGCGACACTTCTAGCTCTCCGCAAGAATTTTACCATATCAGAAGTGCTCCATGCGCCCTCTAAGTGCTGACTCTACCTGTTCGTGGCTGAGGCCACCCTTTAGAAGCTGATGCGACCTCTTACAAACTGAGACGCCCGCTTGAAAGCTGGTGCGACCTCTTGGAAGCTGACACGACCGCTTAAGTGCTGACGCGACCTCTTCGGAAATGACTCGACCTCTTGAAGAGGTCGCCTTAGCTTTCAAGCAGTCGCGTCACACCTAGAGGTCCAACTCCACACGACTCGATTGTATTGTACTCCCAAATATCACCATGCAATACTTGTACATGCTACTATGTGTTCACCAAATATGTGATCTTCATGCCAAGATGTTTCGTACCAAGCAAGCTACGACGATACACTATCTCCTGGGCCCACGAGTATCGATGTACTCAACGCTCTTCAGGTTTACCCAATTCGAAGCGAAGGCCCGAAACGCCGGTTCTCAAGTTGAACTCGGGAAGCGTAGTATAGAGGCGCCGATTTGCGTGGTCCAGTTCTCAGACTCTAGAATGCTGATGACTCTGTCATAAGCTTGTTCACCGACGGGTCGATGGTGCATTGCAGACCATTCCAGTCCTGGTCTCGCTCGTAGACACTCGCTGAACGTACTCGACTTGTCCAAAAGTGCCACAAATCGTGAGGCTCGTCTTGCGGTCGCCTTTTCATTTCACGCCCTGCTACATATAATTTTCAATATCCCGTGGTGCGATCTCCGAACCAGAACTCAAGCGGGCACTCCCTAGATTCTTCCTCCCTCTTCCCTCCCCTTCTTCCAGCTTCGGAACTTCGGACAGTGAGCTCTCAAGAACAAGGGGCTTGCTTCCTCTCCACCCAGTGATTGTCAAACGTTTGACGATGACTCCCACTTCGATGGCGTAATTGGTAACGCACTGGTTTCCGACGCCAGAGATTGCGAGTTCGAGTCTCGTTCGAGGTACTTCAATCTTTTTATTTTTGCTGGGCTGTCGTTTAGGAGTTTGCTGGGTGGAGTTCGTGTACAAGCGTTCTCCCACGGTCTTCACTCACGGCTACAGCACGTGGCCCGGCTGGCCGGAAAGTGTTCCCTTGTTTGTGAAGGCCCGGGCAAGTGTTTGCCTCCAATGTCTCCGGTAGCAACGCATCCATTGCGTCATATTGAAGCCCGATGGTCCTCGCCGCCGGTCATACTATGTATCCGATGCTTGAAAGCCGTTTGGCAACATCGAGTGGTCGTTTTAGTAGTTGACGTGTTCTTGACTTTTTGACCGATGCACCAAGAAGGCAAAAACGGCTTGTGTCTTTCGGATGCGTCCTCAATGATCGGCTCTCAGCTCATAATCGCAAAGACGCACATGAAATTGAATCTCCCTAGAAAAGAGAGCAAGAAGCAACAGCGCTTTTGATTCAGTCTGAGCTATAGTAGTAGCTACGTTCTCCATCTAACATCATCATACTTAGCATCAGCAGAGCTTCGTGGCGCACACACATCATTCGTGCAGTTCATGATGCTCGTGTCTTCGTGAAGGGGAGTCAGAAGGATGTCCCGTCTATCCCAGCCTAGTGCCTGCCTGACTGCCAGTAGGACCCAATGCATGCATCGCGAGTAAAAATCAATATCGACCAAAACACCATTTACAAATGCATCTCCGATGATTCACCTGCTTTGCGGTATTGCAAAGATCAGAACCGGTTCAGGTACTGACTGCTGAATCGCCTAATCCTGCTTCTCCTGGACGGACCAGATCCAGACCCCTCGTCGTCCGACGTTGGCGAATAGGCTGGAGGGGCTTCACCAGGTGGAATAATACTGTTGTACGCGGGCGGCGCTTCTTCATCGCCAGCTGCGCGTCTTGTGTGCATTGGCCTTCGTGGTGTATAGACAGTGCCTTCGCTCTCGGCCCGCTCAATCTCCTCGATGTGCCTCGCCCATATGCTGACGAAAGGTGTTGTACCTCGTGAATTGCTCGTGCCACCAGCCATAGGAGGCGAGGGCGACCTTGTAGGATCCATCGCGCGCTGCTCCTCTCTCCTCGCGTCTTCAGCCTCCAGCCTCGCCTCTTCTGCTTTGTCGTACGCCACTTCACGATCGATGTCGGTTGATGGTGTACTCGAGCTGCTGGCGCTGCTGTCTCGCCGCTGTCTGACGAAGTCGGCGATGAATCGTTCCCGTTCTCGCGACTCCATCACCAAGAAGCGCACCCATTCCGACGAGCTCAATTCGTCAGGTTCGATATCGCGCATGCGGAGTTGACTTGCGGCCAGATGCCGTCGCTGGATCGATGCGGGTCTATTGGTGACGGCTTCCACTTGTAGAACGCCAAATCCTCCATTCCGGATGTGAGGCGTGTTGTACATGGCCGGCCGGCGCGGTCTGTTCCGAGCAGGCATCGTGACTGTGGAGATGGCGATGGGGCGTCGTTCGTCGGAGTAGAGAAACGTCGAGTGGTAGCTCTCAGCGAAGGAAGTGAGGCCACGCATCCGAGGAGTCGGGGGCAGATCGTGGGATAATGACTCGGCCGGAGAGTGATGCCTCCCAAGATTCACAAGAACACCCAAGACGTGCAGCGATGCCCTTCCAAGACTTCTAAGTGGGACGTGAGGATTGCAGCTGTAGCGCGGCTGGCGACGCACACATGGAGGAGTGTCGCGTGGTCGGGATTGCGCTAACCGATGTCCAGCAGATATCACCGGATGGAGGTGTAGGAGCACCGTAGACAATTCTCCTAGGCCTCGCGAGGTCAATCTGCTCCTGTCCAGCCCTTCGTCCACCTCTTGTCCGTCTACACGGAGTAGATCAACCGGTCATCAGACAACAGACAGAGGCGCGTGCCGAGTCCAGAAGTCCACGGATGGAAGCTGCAGGTACTCCATTACAGCTCGATGAGCACGTCAAATCAGACGTAATTGCTACCCCTCCGTCTCCACCAACGGTCCAGGTATAGCTACCACTCTTGTCTGCGCTGCTCCGGGTATTGTTCCGTACACGCAGCTTATCGCCAAGCGAGTCGTTCTTGGTGTTCGCGTGGGCATGGTGAGGTGTGGTCTGACATCCTGGTCCTGCGCTTACAGTTCAGCTGCTTTGGGCGGTCCTCGTCCTCTTCGAAGTGGTCTCGACGCTGTATAAGATGGCGGGTGTAGTGGAGACTTCGCGCGGAAGTATGATGTAAGCTGAGTTCCCATCTGCGATGTCGCCGCCAGTGGTGGATGGTAGCGTGTCAAAACAAGAATCGTGATGCGGTCCGCGGAGGCTGCGAACTCAGAAGGCTGGCACTGTTGGCACCCGGGCGTGATATTGTCTTGGCGGCGACATGGGTTTCAACGACATCCTGTCATTGTGCTCTTTCAGGTAATGCACCCCACGAATCAATACTGGAGGGCGGAGTGATCTCGACGTACTGGAAGTCGGGTGTTCAGCCGTCCTTCCGTGCAGAGAGGATCGCGACTGGTGGAGAGCCGATCTTGCCCAGCAACTGATGAGCGATTTTTCAAGTTCGGCAGCTACAACTTGTGTCTGATCAACAAACTATGCTACAAGCTCGATCTACAGTTTGTCATACAGAGGTATATTTGGGAGGCTCAAAATCCCTCGCGAGTGTCCCATTCCCATCCGGCTACAAGATCTCGTTCGGCGGCCCTGCATGTGGTCTTCCGCAGCAGCCAGCCTATTATCTGACATGCATCTCGGTAGCAGCGCTTCAAAGGTCTAGCCCCAGGTCCTTCGCTTCTCCTTCAAGAAGCACAGCATATCCTCTCGATTCGGCAACATTTTCGACGTCCCGAAGCGATACTGTACAGCAATAATTGCCCTTCTCAGATTCAGCTCGTGGGTTTCATGAACTGTTCGGCCCCGAAACATAGATATGGCAAGCGAAGGCGGCGCACACACAACGAGAACGATAAGCAACCTAATACGCCTCAAAAACCGAAACATGAAACGAGAGATCAGTTTCCAAAAGAAAAGTTCAATTCTATGTCCTAAAGCCATTTATCCCATAGAAAATCGTGGTCCGTATATCCACGTTCTGTCGTTGTCATTACATCAATGTCCAAATCGAGCACATACTGTCCCGCAGCTGCCCAAAGCATCATATCCTCCTAGCTCACGATCGTGTAGTAAGCACTTAGTTGGCAGCACCATTGTATGCCAAAAGGTTCACCGAACCATCACCAACATCCTCCAAGATATCCTTCTGAGCCAACTCTTGAATGCGCTCGCACAGCGCGGCAGGGCTCTTCGGTCCCTCCAAAGCGATCAAGTAAGCAGCAAGGCCAGCAATGTGTGGGGTGGCCATGCTGGTTCCGGAGATGGTGTTCTGTGCTGAAGAGGATCCGATCCATGCGGAAGTGATGTCCTCGCCTGGGGCAAAGATGTCGAGGGCTTCGCCGAAGTTGGAGAAGTCAGCGCGAGCGTCTTGGAGGTTGGTGGCGCCGACAGTGCAGGCAGAGGGGGCGGAGGCGGGAGAGCTGTTGGAGGCATCTTCGCCTTCGTTGCCAGCTGCGACAGTGATGAAAGCGCCGGCGTTGGTGGCTTCCTCGATGGCGTCGTTGGTGGTTTGAGAGAAGGTTCCGCCGAGAGACATGGAGAGGACAGCGCGGTCGAGGTGGCCGTTCTCTGTGGCATGTTGGACAGCCCTGAGTAGATTGTGAGTGATCAATCATGGTCAAGATCTTTGCCTGGAAGCAGACCTACCAGTCAATACCACGGAGCACGCCGCTGTTTGATCCACTTCCCTCGGAGTCAAGAACCTTCACGGCAATGAGGTTGGCTTTCTTGGCCTAGGATAGGGTCAGTCAGGTATTCCTACCATCACTAGAGTGGTTTCACTTACAACTCCATAGGTAGTTCCCGCTGCGGTCTAGGGAAGACAAGTCAGCAAAGATTCTCGAACTTCCACGAAAGCCTGGCGTGAACTTACTCCCGCACAGTGAGTTCCATGTCCCTGATCATCCTCTCCCTCAGAGCCCCGAATAAAACTCTCACCAAGAGTCACTCTTCCCTCAAACTCCTCATGCTCGGTATTAATTCCAGTATCAATGATATAAATAAAAGTATCCTCTCCGGCCGATCGATCGTAAACATAGCTGCTGCCATTTCCAGCATTCGTCTTGTGCGAAATACGGCTCAAACCCCATGGAGCATCCTCCTGAGTGACAAAAGTCCCATTGCCAGTTCCGTTTCCAGGCAATTGTCGAACGTGGTGAAGTGACTGCCGGACGTGGAGTGGAACGTAGGCGTGCATCATGACATCTGGCTCGACGGATTTGATGGCGCCGAGTTCTTGAAGGATGTCCAGGATGGCATCGTCACCATCGAAGTTGAAGCCTTTGACATTTCCGACACTGTAAGTTCCAGTGGACTGTACGCCGGCAGCGTCGAAGACGGTGGAGAGCACGGTATCGAGAACTTCGTTGTCCTCAATACGAGCGATCCATTTGCCTGGGATGGTCTGAGCCGTCTGGCGGCGGTCGATGTGTGGACGAGCAAGTACTGCCGGCAGTACTGCTGGGAGAGTGTAGAGCAGGTTCTTGATAGAAGGCATCTTGTCGCTGTTTCGAATGAATGTGATGTGTCTAAAGTGAGTGTGGGTTATCAAAGAATGAATGACAAGAAACGAGGCGTAGATGCAAAGGAGTGCTGTGGTGAGTTGATGTTTAGACAATGGAAGACGATAGAGTCCTACTATATACCGAGACGTCCAACATGGCCATTGCTTATCATAATCGCCTATTCTTTCGTGCTTCATGTAGCCAAGAGACGCTCTGGTTAGTGGCAATGCACTCGGCGACCAATGCCTATTGCTCGCGAGCTGATTCTAGAGGTATCATGCCATGATGTGCAGCGCCCGTGAAAGGGGAGAATGTCGTCAGTGTTGATTGCGTGTTTCATCGTATAGAATGGCAGTGGAGCATAGCAATCGGGAGAGTGCTACGAGACCTGAGTGGAAGCCCACACGGCCAAGGCAAATGAACTTGATCTGCATAGAGCGGCGACTCCGAGTGCGGAGCGACGATGGGTATACTGTCCTGAGTCACGTCGTCGGTATTGTAGACTTCTTTGGCCATTCTTCCAGTGTTCTTCGTTGCGCTCGCTGCAGGTTGCATTCGCAGTCTTGGCCGGGAAGTAGATCCCATCCGCATAGTGCAAGAGCTAAGTCTGCCAAGAGATGTAGTGATAGAACATGGGCCAGTAGGGAGCGTGGACGAGCACTATCTTCGATCGTAAGCATTGACTGGACCATAGAAGACTGGCTAGCAGACAAGGAGGGTGTCTGTCAAGCACATTTGGTGGAAAGTTGCCGTGTTGCTTGTTCTCTGCGGCTGAAACGCAGCTCATGCTTGGCGGTGGAGGCGAATAATCAACAGCATGACCAATCAGGAACCAGAAATACGACTTCACTCTGCCGCTCGCTCTGCAAAGCGCTTCGGGCGGGATACTACTGAAGGTCAGATGCAGGAGAACAGGCGATGCGGAAAGTCCGAAGACCCATAAGACAATTTGTTGGCGTCCACGCGAACCAATTCTATGGGCTGCGAAGCAGCAGTTGTTGCTGTGAGCGGCGCATTCGTATGTGATTGCACCAGTCTCACCTTTCCTGCTATGCGACGAACGAGCTGCGCAACTGATGTCTATCATCACATAGATCGACAATAGCCAGCGAAGGTGCTGAGAGCAACCCAAAAGCTTCACTTTACAGGGTCAGTGGACTTCGTAAGCCAGAACCTGACGCCGGCCTTCGAGGTCCACGCTGGCAATCCAGCTTGCCAGCGTGGACAAGGCAGTTGGGTGGGTCCTACTTCTCAGTCTCTTGACCAGACGCGAATTGAGCAGCTTTCCATCATCTGCCTTGAGACATGGAAGCGCTTTGTCACAAGTATCGTTCGTAGTAGCAGACATCTTGCTTGACATCATTGGCGCGTTCGGGACGCGTTCTTAGTCGCTGTTTATCTCATTTACCCTGCTGCTCTACCTCTTATTGCTTCTACGCTCAATTCTCATGTATCGTCGAGGGTTTCCATGCCGAGTTTGCAGCGTTGGAGACTTGTACAATCTATGAAAGCGAGGGCATTCGGATGACCAGAGCGTCGCGTATGGCGCAACCGGCTCCAGTCTTGCAGTCGGCGAGCCATTCTCGCATATCCCGGCATTTGGATGCAGGACAACAGGTTGCCTGCATCAACCCGGTAGTGAGCCGTACCATCGTCTGAGATGGACCATCGCGTGGGATCGTCAAGTTCCACTATGAGCAGATAGCACGTTTGCCTCCAAAGTGCAAATCCAGAGATAGTCGGAAGATGACCCCTGGTTGTCGAAGGCAGAGCGTGTGACACAGCGCCGTTCAGGATCTTGAACAGCAGAGTAGCGAGATGTCAGTGGAGCGTGCTGAGGATCAGGTCCGTGCTATCAGTCGTGCTCCGCTTCCCGTTGTCTCTCGCCATGGTGTTTCGTCATTTTGGTGGTGAGGATCCAAGAAGTTGGTCCTCAGCAATAAGTGATTCCCGCTTTCATCGGTTCGTGATGGACAGGTCCTCCGTTGGTGTGACAGCGTCGTCGCCACTGATGCCAAAAGGGTCGCCCTCAATAAACTGACCCGTCTCTTCATCCCAACCCTCAATGTCTCTCAACAAGCGGACATATGCCTCTGGCACCAAGCCTTGGTCTCCGTTATCCTTCTCTGCCACCAGCCAGCCCTGTCCATGGCGGTACGACACCATGATCACCTCTCCTTCTATGAGTCGCAGCTCATTCTCGTTCTCTGGTTCGAAGCCGTACAGTGCCAGTGATGGACCAGCGAACAGTTCCTCATCCTCGGGACCCATGCTTTCGCGTTGCGGGGAGTTGTGGTCTGATGGTTCCGCATCCAGCGGAAGGTCCGACTCCAGATCGACGGGTTGTGAGTTGTGGAAGCTGCGGCTGGGGAGCGTTGCGGCGAAGTGGGAGTCTCGACGTGGCAGACGTTCACCACTATCGGTATATCCTCTGCTCTGTCGCAGCGCGTCTCGTCCTGCTGGATCGTACTGTGACGACTGCGAAGCTTCCTCCGGTCCCCGACTCCTACCCTGCGATGACCTCCTCCTGCCACGCTCGTAGTTGGGCATATCGTGGAAGGACCTGCTCTTGCGGTGTTTGTTCATCTTGAACGATGTCTCGTCGTCGCCCCAATCCTCGCCTGCTGCGCCGAAACTAGTGCTCGGCAATGGTTCCATGTCTTGAACTGGATCGCCATACATGACTCCGTCGCCGCCCCACGGCCCAGCATGCCACTTGCCGCCAGAGGTGCCGCTCTCCGCACTGTCCGACATTCTGCGACTCGTTTCCCACCCGGCGGGTGTACTTGCGCCAGATTCTTCCTCGGGCTGGCCGCCATAGTGCATAGGGTGGTAGGACGGGTAGGCGAAGTCGCGGACCAGCGCGTAGGACAAGCTTGATGAAAAGGCCGGGAATGCGGTGGATTGGGGTCGCGATCGATCCGCCAGCGAGTGCTGCGAGCGCTGGGACAGCGACATCCTGTTGGAGGCTTGTGAGGGTCGCCGACGGTCTCGCTCTGATCGATCGGGGCGTGTCGAGGACATGCTGGGCGACGACGGCTCGGGCTGGGGCGAGAGCACGAAGGATGGCGACAGCGAGGACTGTGCTGCCATGACCTGTGCCATGCTGTCCACACCTCACAGCGCACGGCGGTGGTGGTGGTGCTGTGGGGTGGTCGCTCGCGGTGCTACCGCAGTCGCAGGCCGATCTGACGACAGATCTGGACGATGATGACTGCTTGCTTGCTGCTGATGCGCTGCGCTGCGGCCAGCAATCTCAGCTCCCCTCGGGCGGCCTGGTCGATCGTCTGGGCAAAGTATTCGTGATCCTCTGGGATGGCTCGCGCGCCTGGGGCACTCTAGTTCGCCTCGAGAGTTTTTGGGCCGGGATCGACGAGTGTATGGGTTTATTAGTATTATTCCACTACGAACCCGTCAGACCAGCTGAATCGAATAGCGAGTCCTCGTCAATGTAATGATTGATTCTGCGCCGTGCCAGATGACAGCACGACAGCCGCTGGGCCTGCGTCTAGTCTGTACGCTGCTCTCCCTGTCACTGCGAGGCATGCTATATATAGCCTGGTGCGGAGCGCCTTCAAAGTTATTAAGGTCAATGCTGAGAAATGCACGGGTGGCACGGCGGGACCCTCGTTCTCTCTCTCCAGACGCGCTGCCAACGACCATCGCACGACAGACTGCGGTGCAATGAGAGCCTCACCGCATTGCTCTTCTGCACTCACACTACCCTTCACTTCAGACCTACGCCTTGGAAGTGAATCAATCCCGCCAGCATCGTTCCGCTCGCTCTCCCAGCCTCGCGCGTCCAGCCCTGAAGAGGCGCCCAGGCCAACGTTTCAGATTCCCGCACCCAAAACATTCGCCTAAACCCATTCTGTAACTTGCCCGTCTCGAGCTCTCCACTTGCCCGGTGCTTCCAGCCAACGCTGCTGCCGTAGCTTGCTTCGACTGCAGATTCCTTCTGTCGTACTCTCGTCGGCTGGCTGCTGCTCCACTACCACAGCGATCCTGCAGCATCCCACCACGGCCTCTCATCGTGGCGAGGACGGGAGCGAAGGGAACGAGAAACAATCATATACAACCGTGCTATCAGGAGCAGCGGTACCGCGGGATTTCAACGAGGTCGATATGTCCGACGATGGAGCAGCTGACGATGACCATGTCGGAACCATCCTGAAACGGCGCCTGGAGGACTTCCTGCAGCAGAGGCATCCACCCAAGACCTTCTGCCCTTCAGAAGTCGCCAGAGCGCTGACTGCCGAAGAGCTACAACAACTGGGTTATGCCCAGTGGCGAGATGCTATGCCCGCGGTCCGCGAAATCGCCTGGAACTTGCGACAAAATGGACAGTGTGAGATCCTGCAGAATGGTCAGTCGATTGACGACGTCGATCTAGACGAGGTCCGCGGGCCCATTCGGATCCGACGTGTGGGAGATTGAGAAGCAGATCACTTCGGATGATGTATGCGTAGGCGTTGCACATGAGGTCTGTCTGCAAGGACTTTTTTACTCCGAAACATCAGCGGTGCATACACGTGGCTGCGTGCGCAACCGTTCCCACAAGAATAGACAACCGTTGTCTATTCTGGGATCATCTTGCTCTGATTAAGACATTCAACGTCACCGAACGATGCAGCGAGGATCCTATCCGCCAATCTATCATCGTCTAGATGTGCATGTCAAGACGGACGGAGACGAGTCTTCCGAGAGCAGACTGTATGCGATTGAGTATGCGCATCAACTCACGACACGCTCTAGCCGAGTTGCATTGCTGTTGGATCTAGTAATATCTCGTCGGTCGAGTCCTCGACCTCACTGGCGCTATGGTAGTTGACTCCATTGACGCCGCTTTCTGCAAAGCCAACTGTCTTGGAGGATGGCCTCCAAATCATTTTTGCAGCAGGATGGTCTTCGAAAGGCTCGTGCTGCCCAGAAGCTTCGTACAGATTCTCGCGATACGTCCCTCCAGCAACATGATAACCGTCCCAGAACAAACCTCGCTTCCGCAATTCAGGAACCAACAGCTCGATCACGTCCTCGAATGTCTGCGGCATCAGCGCATATGCCTGGACGTAGGATCAGTATGCATCCAGTCTTTGCATAAGCACAACTTACGATGTTGAAGCCATCGACGTCTCCTTCTTTGACCCAGCGCTCCATCTCATCAGCAACCTCTTGCGGTGTTCCCACGGAAGTGGCGCCCAATCCCCCAACCATGATATGCTCCGCAAGCGTCTTCTTAGTCCATTTGCCACCATTCACATCTGGCGCACTCTTCAACAGCCCCTCAATATAACTTCGAATAGCATTGCTTTCTACATATCGCAGCTCCTCATCGTCCCCATACGGCGCCATATCGACACCTGTCCACCCGCCAAACAAAGCCAGAGCCCCTTCATACGAACCATACTGCAAGTAATCCCGATACTTCGCTTCAGCTTCAGCATGCGTCCGTCCTAGAACAGGACAAAATTTGGCCAAAAACTTGATCTTACTAGGATCCCTCCCTAGCTTCTCAGCTTGACCTCGAATATCGGCTATCGACTTCGCCACACTACTAGGTGCGTGTGCGCTGACGAATATGACTTCTGCATTCTTGGCCGCGAAGTTCTTCCCTGCGCGGCTCGTTCCCGCTTGTAAAATGACGGGTGTGCGTTGTGGCGAGGGCTGACAGAAATGTGGACCTGGCACGTCGAAGTATTTCCCTTTGTGGTTGATTTCTCGGACCAAGGAAGGGTCGGTATAGACTCCTGATGTGCGATCGAGTTTGACGCTGTCGGAGCGCCAGGAGGAGTTCCAGAGTTTGTAGACGACGTCCATGTATTCTTCGCAGATTGCATAGCGCTCGTCGTGTTCGGGCTGGGAGCCTCCGTTTGTGAGGTTTCGTGCTGCGGAGTCGAGGTAGCCTGTATACAGTGTCAATATGGCAATATGAACACTCTTTCGAGTTTCCTCGGAGAGTTGGACTCACCAGTCACAACATTCCACCCCACCCTCCCCTTTGTCAAATGATCCAACGTACTCAACCGTCTCGCCAAATGATATGGCTGTTCATAACTCGTCGAAACCGTCACTCCGAATCCAATACTTTTCGTAGCTGCCGCCATAGCTGGTACAACACTCAAAGGCTCATTCACAGGCCATTGTGCACCAGAACGGATAGCAGGTAAAAGATTCTGAGGTCCTCCATAGACATCGTAGCCTCCGAGGACATCGGCGATGAAGATTCCATGAAAATGGCCGCGTTCGAGAAGCTGGGCTAGAGAAGTCCAATGAGAGAGATCATTAAAATTGGAGGATTGATCTAAAGGATGCCGCCAGAGACCTGGGGATTGGTGACCGGAACACATTTCGACGAAGGCGTTGAGGATGAGCTTCTTTCTACGAGCAGGAATAGGCTGAGACTCAGACGTGATGGTGGCGTGGTGTCGGCCATTGACTTGAGTGGATTCATGCTTCGTACCGTTTGCATGAGCGAAGTCCTTCGATTCGAACTGGACTAATTTCGATAGCGGACTCTTCTTCGGTCGCAACTCTGACCATTGTGCTTGTCGTCGAGGTGGAGTTCCATTAGGTTGTGCATCATGACCGCTCCAGCCGTTTCTAACCACCCCATTAGCTGCCATTTCGCTTTTCTTGAGCAACTTCAATTTGATATGGTCTCATTAGTTGTAGGTGTATATGTCGACAGAACAACCGGCGATGATATGCTCCACACTCGGCAACCATCGGCCCGAGCTCTCGCGATGGGCGCTCGCCCCGCGAGTAGCTGGGCATTGGATTGCCAGATAGCATATGTAATGTCATGCTGGCAGCTCTGAGAGATCAATGAATAAATAAGAAGTTCAATGCCATTTACACAGGAATACTCTGCACAGCGGAGCGTGCTACAGATGCAGAGCGATGGCCCGCTGCTGGTTGATTGGGCCATTGCCTGGGCTAGATTTGAATATATATGGTGGGGATATTGACCAATATAGCATCGATAGCCAGGTCAGGTCACTGACACCAGGTCAGGGCCTGAGTGTGATACATATCGTTCATTTGCAATTGCAAATTCGCCATCGACCATGCTTCCCACTCGTCGTGACGTCTCCAGGCTGACCTCTTACTTTCTCGGATTCTCCCCGTACGGGACACCGGTGCACTCGAACCCAGTGGGGTTGATGACACTATCGCACAGATACTGAGAAGGCAAAGTGTTGTTGACAGTATCAATGATGCCTTCCATTCCTTCAATCGTGAAGCCTGTGCAAGGCGCAGCTTCACTGCATTGCATTTCTCCAATGACATCGCTCGTGGTAGTGCCAGACCAGTTCTTCAATGTCAAGTCTCTGATGTTGAATGGGGAAGTCCCACAGTTTCCACTGGCACCGTTGTAAGAGGTACACTGAGTGATCGCAAAGATGCCGCTTGCATTCTTAAGCTTGAAGTCTTCGAAGGTCATGTTGGCGGCGTAACCTCTGCCACCGCCTCCTCCGTTTGGTGGGTAGCCGGTGCTGACTCCTGTCCATGTCTTAATGTAGACGCCGTAACGCATGTGGTTGATTGTGATGTTGCGTGCTGTGATGTTTTCGATCGTCTCATAACGGTCCTCGTACTGCCCGATGCTGCCGATGGCAACGCCAAGGCCAGTGTAGAAATCGCAGTCTTCGATGAGGATGTTGGTACTGTTGGCTTTGGCGCTGATTGAATCGTCGCCGTTGTCGACAGTGAACCGGCGGAAGGTAATGTTGTTCGCGTAAATGGTATCTGCTCCGTCGGTCTATGAGGTGTCAGTGTCATGAAACAAATCGTGGGGATGAGATCGCTCACGTTCAGAGATGAAAAGTCAAACCCGACTGCCTGCTTGGTGTCTGTGCTGTTGATGTAGATGTCCTCCAGCAGCACATTCTCGGAATGGATGATAGTCATTGTCCACTACGATTGATCAGCATGCAATTCGAGCACAAGGATCACGAAGAGACACACCATCTGGCTCTGCACAAATCGAATGCCCTGGAAGTAGCTGTCCTTGGTGCCAGTGATAGTGATACTGTGAGGCCGGCCGGGGTAATTGTTTGTACCATTGATGAAGTCGTACCACACTTGGCCATTACCTGCAGTGCTACATTAGCACATATCTCTACGGGGCTGAGGACGCCCAGCACTTACCATCGAGCGTTCCATATCCGAAACCCTGCCAGTTCACATTTTCACCTCCGAATGACCAAGCTGAGGACTGGTTCTGGTAGCCCACAGGCAAAGAGTTGTTCAGCCAGTACGGAATGTTTTGGTCCCAGAGCAGGGTCCCGTGAAGCTCGATATCAACGTTGCGAAGTCCGGTCGTCTTCATAACCGACTTGATGTGGTACGTCTCGTTCGTGAACACGACGCGGCCCCGCGCATCGCCTTCATTGTGGCCGCAATCCTCGAATGCCTTGATGATAGCGGGCGCTGAATCGTTCTGTCCTGCTGGCTTGACAACACATGTTGGCCCGGAGAGTTCGCCATAATGTGGGCTTGGGACAGATAGAGCTGGAAGGCTCTGGAGCAGAACTGCTGCCAATGTCAGCTTCATGACGGGCTTCTCGTGCCTGTACAACAAGAGCTCTGGGACGACCTTCTAGCAAGGGCACAATGCAGAATGAAGCACATTTTGTACTCTGCTCGGCTGCAAGAGCTCAATTGAAGTGCCGTCATCTCATTTGGTGAAGGACCCACGAACTTTGGAGAAGCGTCGGCATCGCGTGGTTTGACGATCTTTAGCCTGATCAGGCTGTTATGTTACGCTACCGCATGCTGTATAGCAAGCCGTCTCGATGCCAAACGGTGGGAAATTGTCGGTCTGCCCACTCCACTGGAGCACCATGCGGAGGTGCGCAAAGTTTTCGGGTTTTGATGGTTACAGCTCAGACGCCGGTCGTGACGTGGGATGATGAGTGTCGTCACTAGAGGGAGTTCTGCTATTCTGGCCCTATAGAGGTAGGGAGTGCACGCTCATCGGAACACAAGTGCTGAACTGGAATGGTGGAGCCGAGAAAGAGAACAGAAGCCCGTCTCGAGACCCCGCAAGTGCTGCTTCCTGGGACGTAGTCCGATGCTTCCTTGTGCCGGCTGGCAGCAATGACCGACAGCTTCTCCGACAAAGCTACGATTACAGACCGCGAAGCTTCATCATTTTTGAGAACAATACCAGAGCGTCTGTTGACTGTAGGCGATGTTGTTGCTGCTGCCAAGAAGGCTGCTGAGGCTGGACCATGCAGTGGGTATCGGCCGGGATATTTGTGGAAGAGTCGACCCAATCACACCCCTTGACATCCAGGAACATCATCAACTTCAGCGCTTGTGCAACACCGAAGGATTCGCTTGCACGACAGACCTTTCAGCTTTGGACATGGAACTGAGTATAGGCGAGGGCGGAGTGTCAGGAGCGCATTCTTCCCTTCACGGTAGGCGAGTCTTCTTCCATTCTCTTCATCAGCTATCACCAGTCTTGCTTGCACGAGGAGTAAAGGATAGTGCGAAAGACATATCTGGAGACATGCGCCTTCTCCTGCACGCATAGCTGGACCTCAGGCCCATCCACCGAGCAAGTCACGACCTTACGATGACGACGAATATCACGATTCCCGCGCCCATCTCATGGACACCTTCAGCGTATTGGGACGGCAACGATGGTACTTGGAACAGCTTCATCGTTCAAGTAGGAACACCGCCGCAAGAGTTCAGAATCCTGCCTTCGACGGCAGATCAGGAAACATGGATACCGGTGTCGGAAGGATGTACAGCAGCTTCGCCAGATGATCCAGGTTACTGCGGTTTTTTGCGAGGAACACTACCGGTCAACGGCGTGAACAGTTCCGGCTTTGCAACGAATGAGACCAGCTCCTGGGAGCAGATAGGGAGTGGTATCTACACGCTCAATTCTCAGGAAGCGGAGCTCGGATATGGAGGCAATGGGCTCTATGGCTTCGACACCGTGGTATGGGGAAACTCTAGTGACGCGCCGAGCCTTGAGAGGCAGGTCGTAGCTGGTATTGCAGATCCCTCCTTCTGGCTAGGCATCGCTGGGATAGGCCCGAAGCCGATCAACTTTACAGAGTTCAATGATCCGATTGACAGCTTTTTGAGCACGCTCGTCAACGACAACAAGATTGCGTCCTTATCATGGGCATACACCGCAGGAGCATCATATCGAGACCAAAGTCCGGCGTCCCTGACCCTGGGCGGATACGACAGGAACAGAATCCAAGGCAACGGAAAGTCATTCGACATGGACGCTGATAATTCTCGGCCTCTCCAAGTTGCTGTGACAGCTGTGACAGGGCAAAACACTCTGAATGGAACTATAACCCTTTGGGAGTCTGCAACCATGCACTTTATCGACTCTACTGTGCCTCACATCTGGGTGCCTGAAGATAGCATCGGGTTATGGACTTCTGCCTTTGGCTTGACCTACGATAACACAACAGACCTCTACGTGGTCAACGAGACAATACACGATCAGCTTCTGGAGCTCAACCCAACCATCACGTTCACCCTGGGTTCTAACACCGGCGCTACCGTCAGCGATTCGCAAACTATCAGACTGCCTTACGCAGCATTCGACCTCGAAGCGACCTATCCCTTCTACCAGAATGCCACGAGATACTTTCCCATCCGCCGTGCGGCCAATCATACGCAGTACACGATCGGCAGGACGTTCTTCCAAGAAGCGTACGTGATAGCAGATTTCGGACGCAACAACTTCACAGTTGCTCAAGCCAGCTTCGACAATCTGGACACGGAGAGCTTAGTGGCTATTGACAAGCCGCCTGCGAACAGCACTTCCTCATCTCAAAAAGAGCCGTCTTCGAGCGGTCTCGGCGGCGGCGCAATAGCTGGCATAGTCATCGGCGCAGTCGCTGGCTTAGCCATAATCGGACTCCTACTCTGGTTCTTCGTCTTCCGCAAGAAGCGCGTCGAAACACCGGACGAAAACGTCGAAGACTCAGCATACCAAGCAGACCAGAAACCTCCGCTCCTCCAGCACGATTCCGAACTGCCGGCAGACAACACCGCTGTCAACGAAGCTTACGGCAGCAAAGTTATGATGTACCAGGAAATGGAAAGCCTGCCTGTGCACAGCGAAGTTCATGGCGATCCTGCGAGATGGGGCAAGAATGGCGTGCAAGAGTTGCACACTCCGCCAATCCCTGGCAATGCAGGTTATGGCATGCAAGAACTCGGGGCACAAGCTGTTGGCCACGAGAGTGGATATCTAGCTGAGGCGCCTGGAAGTGAAGGCAGAAGAGCAGAGCTTCCTGCGAATGAACCTATTGATAGAAAGTAATGATGACTTGGTATGCAGTACAAGACAATGAGACGGTTATTAGATGTACATATTTACCTACCCCAATCCCAGACCCTCCTTTCCATCGTACACGAACCCAACAATCTTTTTGCCTACCTTCCTCGGCGGTGGTATCACGACATGATCGCAGGACTCTTTTTCCTTCGCTGTGATGCTCAAAGCCAATTCGCGCACAACGCTCACCATCTCTCTCTGTCCGGCCATGAGCTCCCGGACTTGCGCAGATGTCGCTTCGATTCGTTTATCCAAAAGCACATCCGCTTCTGGCGTTCGCTTCTGTTCAGTCTGCCCGGCTGATAACGCACTCGTGAGCGCTTGCAACCTGTCGTTCGTTTCTCGTATCATGCCTTGCATGCCCTCGCTCATCAAAGGTGCTGGAGAAACCTGAGGCGGAGGAGGTTTCTCTCGCATACTCCTGATCGCGGCAGCATTCTGTTCCGTCACAGCCTGAATTTTACTCAGATGTGATGACAATGCCGACATGAGAAATTTCGTGTCACCGGTGCCAGGACTCTGCGTCTGGAAGTAATTGCTTGTTCTCTCCAATGCACCATGCATACGATCAAGCCGATCAGTCATGGGACTGAAGTCGATATCTTTCGATCCGCTTTGGACGCCAGGGCTTGCAGTCTTCTGGTGTTCGATGAAATCCTTGATCTGCTGGGTATTTTCTGCTGTTGCTTCTCGAATCGCGTCCATGTGTTCTGCCACGGGTCCAAAGTCGATATCGCCGCTGTTATGCTCCACGATCTCTTTCATTTCGATTTGAGCTTGTAATATGCGGTCAAGTGTCTCGCCATTAGTTCTGCTTACTCGAAGAGAATCGTCCTTGTCGTCTCGCAGGATTTCAAGTATTGCGGTGGTGTGTAGATTCTGTTTCTCAATTGCTTCGTGAATCTTCTCCAATGTTTCCGAGATGGGTAGTAGATCCAGCTGATTTTTATAACGTGCCTCGGCGTCTGCATTTGTCCGTTCCCCAAGAATCTTCTTGTTGATTGACGAGTTCTGTTCAATGGCCTGCTGCAAGGCTTCCAATTTCGTGGTCACTGGCGTGAAGTCGATGGCGGGTGGCTTCTCCACTGGTGACCGAACGCCATCTTTCCTCTGTGCAGCCGACTGGTCCAGTGTGCGGTTCACGCGATCTAGGTGCGCGGACAATTGAGACAGATCTATGCGATCTTCGCGTCGTTTTCGTGAGACTTCCTCGAGTGCGTCCGTCAAGCGCTGCTCATGCTCAAATTGCTTCTTCGACATGCTTTCGATGTTCTCGACATTCCTTGCGAGCAGGTCTGTCATCTTGCCAAAATGTACCGCCAGAGGGCTTGTGTCAAAGTACCCTTGGCCATTCTGCGAGCTGCCCGCTTGTGATTGTACAAGCTTGTCAATGCTGTCGGTGCTGCGTTCCATCATTTGGGTTACTCTATCCAGTCGGGCATCAATGTCCCCTGGCCGACTGTCCTGCTCTTTCCGATGTCTAACTGATCGTTGTCGAAGGGGCGGACTCGACGGAGCACTTCCTCCAAGCATGTTCCCTTGCGCATCCTGCAGTGGTATGATTCCTTGCGCTGCTCCGCCCAGACCACTCGATACACTGTCTGACAGGGCGATATACATCCACCTGCTCCTCAAATGCTCAAAGGCCGGATGTATCCATGTCTGCGATAGCATGTCGGGGTTGTTCAGTGTGAAGAGCTGCGGACTTGGCCGTGACACAGCAGGGAAGTTGGCTTGCACGAGTAGCCACCATTCGTTCGCAGTCGGCGCGGAGGCGAAGGTGAGTAGGTAACATGATTCGGAGTCATCGTCCTGGTCGTGGGGGCCTCGTCAGTATGCTTCCCGCAGTCCATGTGCGCTGTCTCACCTTGCGCGCATATGCGTAGAACAGGCCACCATCGCCGCCTTTGCTGATCTGTGGCACATGCGGCTGCGAAGCTGGTCGCGATACTCCTGGTGGTCGTTCAAGGCCTTGGTCCTGCACACCGTCCTCCATGATGGCTCCAAACCCTTCTTCTGCGACCTTCTTCATGTGGCCATTCGTCTTCAAATTACCGGTCGTCCTCCTACGCTTCGGTGTCAACCAGGAGAGTTTGTCTCGTTCAGGCATATTTCTATGGGACCGCGGTTGAGCAGCAATGTCAGTGCGCACGATGCGATGCTGTTTTGATGGTTACGAGGCGTCATGACCAAGGAAAAGAACACAAAAGCGACAGGCGGCCTACCTCTCAGTGCCTACTGCCACAGCGTCTGATGGCATCGTGATGTGGACGAATGGGGGATGAGGATGGAGACTCTGATGGATGCAAGCAGGGAATGGGAAACGCAGAGTGACGTTGTGTTTACTCGACCCCTGCCAGTTACGGATCTATACACGCACCTACCATAGAACATGCCCACTTGGCACTGTAGCAATGCACTGCTTGTATAGATGGTGTCGCAATGGCTAGATAACTGGATTGCTACAGAAATTGCAATAATTGTACGATCAACTCTGGTCACTTCGCCAAGTTCTCATGCCATGGCTCCTAGCCAAAGCAAGTGCATGCACGGGACCGCGAGGCCTAGAAAGCAATGCCTGGCAAGAATCTTTTTCGCGACTGGAGTATTTGTGCTACGAGCGAGAATAATCCTCATGACTCTCATACCCGGCATTCCTGCAGCTTCTCCAACACGCTCCGCTGGACTTCCAGCGATGCCTCGTCACCATCGGTCTGATCAGATGGGTCTTTCAAGCACAGTTGAACAGCCTCGAGATACCGCGAGCCAGCCGCATGAGAGACGTCTTCGACAAACTGCGAATCCTGCCAAAAGTCTAGCAAGGAAGGCAGTTTCAGGTCTTTCTTTGTGCGTTCCGCATCCTCAATCGCCTTGTGCCAGTCCTCGAGAGATAATCGGGACAGCGTGGTGACGAGACCCTCCCACAGAGCAAGTTCTGTAAGCACACAGCCCAAGGCGAAGAGATCGAACTGCTTTCTGTAGCCAGTAGCCACAGCGCCGCGTTTCTGTGGATGTCGATAGAGGTCACTTTGAAGGGTAGCATCTGGTAGCTCAGTCAGCGATGTCTCAGCCTCTGGCCGAGCGTAGTCATAGCCCATCAAATATGGCTTCCCCATGTCCGAGGAAGCGCCCAGGTCCTGACCATTCTTCAAGAAGATGACATTGTCGGACCTGATACTCTTGTGCAGCCAGCCGACGGTGTGGAGTTGCAACACAGCCTCTGCCAGTGTGCAAGCTATACTCAGGCGGTCTCGAAGAGACATGCGACGCTGAGAGGCAATGGCGTCGTGAAGCGTGAGTGATGAGCGCTGCTCTTCGGTGGTCGAGACGGGAACTTCGTATACCAGGGCAAACCTGCAGCATTCCTTCGAAGCAGTCAGACCGATACAAGGCAGAGTGGCGAATGTATTATCAACACTGCCTAGCAGGAGTGCCAGTGCTTGCATATGCTTCTCCAGCACATCGTACTTGTAGGCGTCCGTGTGTCGCCATTCAACCAGTACCGGGTCATCATTGTACGTCCCAAGCTGTATGCTGGCTGCTCTTACCAGTACATTCCCAGCGGCCTTTATCTTCTTCTCTTTTATCATCTTGAGACGCGGCATGGAGTTGTATATGGCTGGTGTCTGGGGTGGGCGGATCTCGCCTGGGCGCTGGTCGACTCCTAGCACGAGGCGGATACGTTTGAAACGTGCGGCGCTGGCAATTGCAGCATCGCCGACGCCAGAAGCAGGACGCAGAAGGGCTTGAAGTGTCTCGACTTCGGTCAGATCCGTGGTATGGCTCAGTGCATCGCGCAGTAAAGCGCCCATGCCCGTCTTCAGCCATGTACGGTCGGGGAGGTCCAGGAGGCGCTCGAGGTGTGTGTTCAGCTCGCCGAGGTCATCGATCACCTTCACGACCTTCTCTTTCCCGCCTGCTGCCCATTGCATGCGCTTCCATGGTCCGTTCGCCTTTGCAATTGCCTTAGATGAAGCGGAGTTGGAGTAAAGTTTGGGCCTGAGCCGCCGAAGGACCTTGCCAAGTCCGACGTCTTCCCTCCTCTCCTCTTTCCCGTCTTCAACTTCATCCTCCAACAACTTCAGGCCATATTTACTCTGCAATTTGTCCGCCGATGTCAAGATGGTATACTGCTGCTCCAGAATATCGTATATCAATGGCCAATTCAGTCTCGCATCAGGACTGGACGTGTTCAGCCGTGAGCACTGCGCCCATTCCTCCAGGCGATATCGCTCAATCTGCAATCTTGTGCGGAGCAGATCGCCCTCGATGCCAATAAGTTGAGCAGTATGGCAGAACTTGTATGCGTCGATGCATCCTTGGAAGACCTGGAAAGCAAGCGAGATGACCTGAGCCGCTCCAGCTGCTGTTTCCAGACCTGTCACCATTGTGGACGAGCAACGTTCACGGTCGCCGTGCTAACATTATCTTACCAGTGTAGGCGAGCAGAGGCTAAGTACGTCTTTCGACCACCCTAGCGCCCTGATGCCGCCCTCTTCAAGCGAGTAGGTTGCAGCCTCCGGTGGAGCACATGCATCCACGGCAAGATAGCTGCAGCAGCACTGCAGCATCGCATAACACAGGACAGGGCGGCAAGCCGAGGGCTGAAATCCGAATGCACTTCCTCGCGCCATGAAGTACCTCTGACACCTGGGAACCACAGCCTGTGCAACTTGCTACGCTGAGCAGCTGCGCCACTGCGAGCGTCCTATTAATCCCAGACCTGCCCGCCAGTCGACGTAGTCTCTCGCTTACTGCGCTCGGCGACCAGGAAATTCGGACCCGTACTGCACAGATTCCAGCCCTTTCGGCAATTCGACGTTACTCCCCAGTTATGCAGAGCTTCGCGCGCGCTTTCCAGATACCAGTGCCCTTTCGCGTGCGACAGCGACCGCAGGTAACCCTCTTCGGCGAGCATGGCTTGGGGACTACGGAGAGCAGGGCTGGCATTGAAAGCTGCTTGCGAACGCTCTGTACCCTGCCTCCAGCCGATGACACTGGTCGAGTTGGAAGAATCTCTTCGGGACACTTCGTTCATATCCAGTCGTTCCTGCAAATGCTCGACGTCCAGGATGGCAGAGTCTATCCGGATCTATGGAGTTTGAGGCCTAGACTCTATACTCTGCTGCATGGCATCAACGCTTTGGCCTACATGGACGCCTTTGTTATGAACAGCATTTACGACATTAGCCTTCCTTTCGATGCTTCCACACTGCCTGTCTTCCTGGCTGATGCTGCTCTGCGAGCCAGCTTTCTTGCCCGCCAAGTGAGCGTCATCACCGATGCGCGCCACCTCGAGAGCTCCTCCGAAGAACATATTTACTTCAACGGCAGCGCCGAAGATCACATCGTTCCTTATCGAGCGCTTGGGCATGGCGGGTTTGGCTATGTTGACGTTGTCATTTCACGCCTTAGTGCGAAACCCTACGCCCGCAAACGTGTGGCGCGAGGCAGAGACAGTGACGATAACAGAAGAGTTCAACAGTACCTGGTGGATGAGATTCGGCTGATGAAGAACCTGCGCCATCGACACTTGACAAAGATTGTCCAATCTTACAGCGACTACAAACACATTGGATTCCTCATGGAGCCTATTGCAGAGTGTAATCTGCACCAGTTTTTGGCAAAAAGGCCCTTTCCTGAATCACATCTCATGGCGCTGCGCCAGTTTTACGGCTGCCTTGCCAGCGGTGTCGACTATCTGCATCAGAAGAAGATTAGGCATCGTGACCTAAAACTCGAGAACGTACTTGTGAAGAATTTCCAAGTGTACATAGCAGACTTTGGAACGGCAATGGGCTGGACAGCATCGAAGCGCGGGACTACGCAAACTCGGGGCGTCCCTGCAACTCCTCACTATATGGCGCCCGAGGTGGACAGCAAACAGTCGAGAAATGTTGCAAGCGACATGTGGTCCTTAGGCATAGTGTTCCTTGAGATCCTCACTGTCTTGAAGGGGCACACTTTCTCCAAGTGGAAGGATCATCTCAAGAAAAAGGCGGATCGTGCCAGGACGGACCCCTGGCCATGTCGAAATTTAGGCGCTGTTCATGAGTGGATGGCAACGCTGGCCACAACGCAACGACACGAATGGGTCGACGACGAGTCTCTGGCATGGAGAGACAATGAGCCGCTCACTTGGATCAAGTCACTCCTGGAACCAAACCAGGACGCCCGACTGGGCTCGAGGGCGCTTGTCACGACCATCGCCGATTCGATGTACTTCCGTAGCTTTGCGTGTCCAGATTGTGCCGAGGACTTCTTGGATCCCCATTACCGATATGGCGACGGCCATGAGTGGCCCGAAATCTCACGCGACGCGATAGAGGCCGAAGTGACAGCGCTCGTGGGTGCTGGTGCGGCAATACCAGAACAGATGGACGATCGGAAGACCGAGATGGTCACAAGATGGTTGGGCCAGACTCAGGAGCATTTCGACCCTCAGCCCAACGAGGACCCTCGACCTTTTCCCATGCCCGGTGCATACACCGACTGGCTCGAGCAGCAATCTCCAGAGCCACAAGGGTCAGCCCCAGATTCAGGTTATGATTCAGCATCGCGAGTAGAAGAACCAGGTCGTCCTGACAGCGTCAAGTCACCTACAAAGCAGGCATTCCACGATGGTGGCTTTTTCGTCGACCACGAAGACGACTCTTCCGATGCAACCTCGACGGCTGACGGCCCAGCAGAAACATATACACCGGGACAATTGTTCCCCATCGTGCATGATACAAGCTCGGACAGCTCAGAGGAAGCGAATCCCATAGACTCACCCATGCTTGACCAGATAGCCGAGGAAGACGAAGAGCCTTGCTTCTCACAATCGCTTGCGAGGGCGAATGGGACCAGCCTTGTCCAAGTTCCCGAAGGGCGCGTGGTTCGTTTTCAAGATGAAAAGACAGTTCGCTACCAGTATGTGGAAGAGGACAACTCGACCCAGACCGTGGAGCTTTGGCGTGCAGAGCGCGCACTTCCAATCTCTGGGCCTGTCCTTGAATTGAATACATTGCACCAGGAAGGCCCTCAGCAACAGAATCAGTCACAAGTCGAGGGAGTCCCACCTGTGCAAGATCGAATTGATCCACCTGCCGTTGCGGATGTTGCAATTGGAGACATGCCGCTTGATCAGGAAATGGTACTAAGCTTACTCAAAGCTCCATCTCATCTAACCTCCAAACCATTAAAAAAGCATGCAAAGCCTCCGGGCAAGCCAAAGGAGCCGTATCTGTTGCCATGGCACTCCGAGCCTACGCTGGCCCCAGAGCTCGTACTAAATCCCACCGAGCGCCGACCGTACAGCCTATCGAACACAGAACTAGAAGGATTGCAAGTCGTGGCCCTGTCAACAAAGGCAATTGATGACAGCAAGGGCAAACCAAAGAAGAAGTCGAAACAGGTTGCTGAAGCGAAAAAGCCTTGGCCAGAAAAGCTCTCAGCACAGAATGTCAATCGCCTCAATAAAGAGGACAAGGCGAAGCGACGTACGGAGAAACGGTCTTTCGACGATGACACCTTCACCCCAGCTAGCTTCATCGAAGCTGCCTGGCAGTCTGCCGAAGCAGCAGATAGTTTGGCAACGTCAGTCATGTCGGACACAACTGCCAAGAAGCTGCGCGGCATCAAGCTAGTATGGGACGATAAAGCGTACTCTTACCTTGAGCGCTACACCAAAGCTGGTCGTGTCGCACCTGTTCGACTTCTCTTAGACCAAGGCTGTAACTGTGGAACAGTCTTAAAGCCGAGGCCGAAGCCACTGATCAATGCCATTGAAGGCCGCAGCGCACGACATAACAAATGTGTGCGAGCACTCATCAAAGCAGGCACCAACGTTAACGTGAAGTATCGCGGCAAGACTCCGATACATATTGCTCTCGAGCAGAGTTACTTTGACGGGTTTCAGAAATTACTGGCGATGCTGCTGGCTGCTGGCGCCGAACTGAACATTCCCGACACGACAGGCGAGTTCCCATTGACCAAGCTCTTCAAAGGCTCGGCAGGCGATGTACCGCTCGAGGACTACCAGAAGGAATGCCTCGGATTGATCTTTCACCCCAAAGTGCAATGCACTGTAGACGCCAATGTTCGACAGCCTTTCACTCTTGATACGCCTTTACATCAAGCAGTGAGACGTCGTACAGCTCAAGCCGTGGCACTCCTGATCCACAAGGGCGCCGATGTGAACGCAAAGAATGCTTCAGGCACTACGCCTCTTCTAATGGCAGCTAACCAGTGGCGAGGCAAACTCAGCGATCAGCAAGAACGTATGCTACGATACCTGCTCGATGCTGAGAGCATTGATCTTGATGCCAAAGGTGGGACACTAGGCCGAACGGCTTTGCACCATGCTGCGGCTGCGGGCTGTGCTGTTGCGTTGGACATGTTGCTCGAGAGCGGCGCAGATAAGAGTGTCCAGGATAAGGATGGCAATACTGCGTTGGCGATTCTGGAGGCTGGTCGAGACGCAGACGCGCCGGCTAAGGATTTCCAAGTGATGCTTGATATGCTGACGGAATAGACAGGGTTGCTAGGTGATGCGAATGTTCACTTTCCCAACACGAGCTCAATGCGATATGTGTAGCGTGATGATAGGTGCAAGAGCAAGGTTGGCATGTGTTGCGCATGTTGTGATTGCAAAGTCATCTCTCTATTTGTACAATCTGGCCAATTCGCCTGCTATTTTACGCTTGAGCTGATCAATTGATGCTGCTCGCGAGGTTTTGCCAGTCAATTCCAGTCACTCTTCCTGGTATCCGCACGTACCGACCTGCAATTACTAGAGACCATGAGAGCCGCTACTAGCCAAATCCCGGTGGCGGCTACCTCGAGTCATTGTCCTTTGCTACCGCGGCACCGTACCAGGATCCTGACATACTCCAAACGATATCTCCCACCTTATGCCGTCGAGAAACTTGCCGATTGGCCGTCTCTTACATACTGAATTCCCGCTTCGGTAGCATGCTGCTGGTCCACAAATTTAGATGTTCGAAGCTTCTTCGAGAAAAGACCATGTTCCTCGTGAGTGGGAGGGATTCTGACATGCAGCAATTTGCGGGACAGAAGAGCTTCTCCTATGGTGTTTGAGAGAACACAAGCGAGGCAGCATCTGCGACGTGCAAAGCTCTTGCGACACTGCGATACCTCGTACGCTCGAGTAACGAGGATGCATTTGATATCATAACAACGCAACGGCTATTGTTTCATACTGGTGGTGTTGAAGCAACTGCGCGACTGTTGTCAACGGAGGTGCATTTGCCTTTTCTGAGCCCCGCGCTTCTCGAAAGCCTGGCGTCCGGCGTTCATTTCGTGGTTATTGCCAATTGTTGCGATGTACGGTATTGTGACTCGGGATAGTTGTGATCAGATAGCCACGACGGTCGGCTGTCGGCGTGGTTGGTATGGACAAGACTCGTGAATTGTTGACGACATCCTATTTTTGGGGCCGTACCATGGTCGAAACCCTGCATGGCCCGGGATTTTCCTCCGGAGTGGGTCTTTTTGTCGCTAGCGCGAGCTGTGTGAACTTGGTTTCAGCAAAAAGATAGCACAATTCGTAAGGGCTATAGATGAGCAGCAGTAGATCTGTGACATGGCGTATGAGAAACGGCAGGCCGTTTGCAGCAGTCGTTGATCTGCAGAATGGTTCGTGTATCGTCGCTGCAGATGTGATGGATCGATTCGCTGCTGGTGGAAATACGAGCCAGTGGCAGGGCCGGGCTCGAACTTGCGGTAGCTCCTGGATCGTGCATCTCGGCTGTGATTCGTCCGTCGCCACGTCTGCTCACATCCACCAGCTCAGCAGATCGTTCTCATCATGCGTTGAACGCCGCCTGGCGGTGGCGGACGTCCTCGGGGAGAGGCGTAGCAGGAGCCGGTGCTGATCTGAAGCTCTCATTTCAGCCGGTCTTCTGCTGCCAACGAGCTGGGCGCGGCTGCTGGCAAGGCTGCGTGGTGCAGGACGGCGGGAAGAAAACGCCTTCGTGCAGCAGCCATTTCGTCCACAGCTTCGACGATTCTGACCCGCGTCTCGTGTCGCAGCATGACTTTGTCCATCAGCCAAGCTGTCATTCGTCTGCATTTCTGCCCAAGATCCGCGCTGTAGGCTGGCTGCGTGGGCGAACGAGACGACGCCGACGAGGGTCATGCCATACGCCGCTCCCGGGCTCGTCTGCTAGAGCATGAGTTGTTAAGGTTCAGTGCCTGGTTGTTCCTCAGAGCCACGGATGCACGACGAGCGAGGATCTTGCATGCATTGGGCCAGTTTCGGATCGCCCTTCGCACGGGCTCTGCACCACCATGCCCGTGTCGACCTTTTCTGCAGGCCATCCTTCTCGTTCGCGAGGAGCTCTCATTGCGCGCTGGACCTCCACTCGAGACCGGATCGATGCTGACGAGCAACGGAGCAGCATGCAAGAGCTGGACGGGACGGGGCTGTATGACCGTCCAGACTGGCCGCTGTCGTTGTCGGCAGCCGAAGAGCAGCATGGCAAGAGAGGCGGGCGGGGTGCACGGCTGGCCGAGCTGGACGACGAGCTGGTGGAAGACGGTGCGGTGATGCGGAGACTGGAGGACATCAGCCCCACGCTGGCTATCCTGAACGGCGGAGCCTACACCACCGACCCCGAAGTCAGCGATATCGATGAGGACGACGACGACGATGACGACGAATCGCTCGGTCCGCCCTCACCACCGCTCCCGCCGCAACACCAGCACGACCACTCTCGCCAACTGCCGCAATCGTACAGCATCGATGAAGGCTATTCTCAGCAACGCCGTCGTTCGCCGCGCGGATCACGGCGTCAGCAGCATGCCGAAGTGTCGCCAGTTCGGGAAGAGCTCCAGTTCGAGTCTAGGCTCATCCGTGATTCAAGATCAGAGCAAGAGCGAGTGGAACAGGGCAGCGGTGGTCCACAGGCTGTGCAAGCGTCGCACGATGCCCACGAAGATGAGAACGGCGACGTTGAAGAGTCGAGGGATGTTGCCCGCCCGTTGTCTTACATTGGCAATTCACCGGCATTGCAGCAAGGGGTGACACCTACGAGCTCTCCATATCTCAATGGGGCTGCATATTCAGCTCTGACAACCAACGATCGAAGCAACAACCGGAACTCAATAGCCAAGGAGCCGATGCATAGTAGCCATGCTGACAGAAGGCTGTCCAAGAGAAGCTCAATATACAACACCACACAAATACCATTCCAAAAAGAGCGAGTGCGGTATAGCTGGCAATCGATCCAGGATGACGAGCCCAACCGGCCGCGGATACATGTGATCAAGCTGTTTTCGCAGACGGCGACGGCAGCTGCAGGATTTCCCACTGGAGAGGCTTTCGGGTTCTCCACTTCGCCGGGTGGTAGAAGAATAGCAGTCTACAACAGTGCCAGAGTATATGTGCTGCAAACCAACGCTCTGCCCGTTGGGATCACCCAGGACTATGCATTGAAACGCAGGCCGATCGATATTGGATTGACCGACGAGGGCAACACCCTGGCCATTCTAGCAGATGATCATACCATTAACGTCTACGAGCTTGGTCATGAGCTACGGAGAACGAGGGCGATCTCGTTGGACTTTCCGACGCACTGTATTGCACTTTCACCGACCGGAGGTCTACTGGCGGCGGCATATGAAGGTGGCATCGAGGTCTTTTCACTGGCATCCAGTGCCCTTCCTACAGATCGCAGAGCTGTTCGTTGTGTCAAAATGGATCGCATGATGTTTTCCGATGATGGTTCGACATTACTCGGCACGACCACGCGGATCAATGTGTCATCTACAGTGACTGTCTCGGTCCCAGTCTTTCCTGCACGAGCAGACGGAGTGCCCACACACGAAGAGCTCAAAGAAGCCTGGTGTTCCGAGTTACTACATCCCGAGAACATTCGCAACAGCAGCCATGCTGCATTTATGCGAGAGAACCGGAAGACTTGCAATGAGAAACTATTTGCTTGGAATGGACTGGAGGATACGTTTGGCATTTTGGACGTTAGCGACATGCATTACGGCAACTTTGACTTCCCAGTAGTCATTTCGCCACCCCTTTCGACTTGCGGAGGGCTAGGAGCAGCGATTCATAGCTGCCCTTCGATCGATGAGCACGGGGACACCGTGGCCATGATTGTAAATGACAGAACGATACGACTATACATTGTACCTCGGGGTACGGGAGATGATGTCGCTGTGGTTGAGGCGCACAGCATCGATCATGAGCTCGATGAAGGTTATGGATGCCCATTCAGCGAGGCGAAATGGGTGCACAGTTCCGCTTCACTTCCATCACCAGCACACGACGAAAGACAGGTTCGTGGACGCTTGATTGTAACAAGCCCTGGCGGCGTGATAGAAGCCGGCGTTAGTGAGGAGAGCGTTGAGGAGATCGAGGGCGGTAGAATAATCCTCTTCGATTTCGATCCTCAATTCTCTGGCCAGCCGGGACAAACCTTCAACTTGACCTTGGGAAAGAGTCCACCGGCGCCGCTCACCGAGGAGAAGAAGAGCATGAATGAACAGGTGAACCTTGTGCGAAGGAGAACTGTCAACCAGAGCAGGAGTGGCTCACTGAACCAAAGGCCAGCAACATTGGGCAGATCAGCGACAACGAATGGAAGTCGCTCAACGAGAAATCCGGGCGCAGCAAATCCAGCTGTGGCTGCTAGGTCGAATCGCAACAGCATGCTCTCAGTGGGCAGTATGCAATCGGAAGCCACACGGAGTCTGCCAGACCTTCTCGAAAACGCCGAAGCAGCGGAGGAGGCATTCGAAGCGCCGTACGTGCAAGGACAGCCCCGGTCACAAGCATCTCTGCAGCGAGCGGCATCGAACGCCCAGCGACATCGATTCCAGACTCTGGAAGAGCGTAATCAAGCACATGTCAGCGTCGACTCGTCTGGTGGCTTCCTGGCCCTGCCAGAATACACGGAGGAACCAAATGCGCCACTTCCCAGCCGCTTTCGAGCCATGGCTGGACTCGATGCCCCTGCCGTGTTCAATCGCCCCAAACCCGCCATCATCACCAACGTCAATGGCGAAATGGCGGGTTCGAATGCGCTCGCCAACGCCTCATCTCAGGCACCTCATACCGCGCCTCCAGATGTGGGAGAAAACTTCAGCTCGGATATGGCTTTCCGGAATGCTAGTTTGAGCCACGATGTCGCCGAGGAACAGGCACAGACACTCGATGAGCGCACGAGAAGAGAGATTCGCAGGAACGAGATCGAGCAGCAAGGCATGGACGCTAGTCACGCTACCAGTCCGCAGAGCCCTGTCGATTCTACGACGAGTTCGATTCCCAGCAGCTTAGCACGACTGGACAATCGACAGCAGACTCGATTGGAGCAATTGGCGCGCGGCACCGGGACATATTCTTCCTCTGGCACTTTTGACTCTAGATCACAAAGTCCTGCGCCGCTTAGCGCAGTGAGTGCGTATGGTTCCTTTGCGTCCATGCCAAGAAGTTTGCAACGGGCGTACAGTAACGCAGTCTCGCCCGTGGGTCATGTTCCTGCTCCTGCAATGGTGGGAGAATGGCAGACTGCCGTACCTGTCACTCGTCCAGCGACATCGACGACTGGTCATCTCGAAGACGAAGATATAATATCACCCGTGGATTCCCAGCGAAGCATGTTCGGCAGGGTTCCGAACGGGTACCGCAACTCCACCTCGTTGATCCATCCTCCTGGCCATTCCGTGCATCGCACTCAGCCCAGCGGTGCCACAGTGGCTACCATGCCTGAGAGACCCTTCGAGCCCATGCCACCGGTGCCAGATCAGAGAATGCCACCACACATGCACGCATTCCGAAATGCGGCTGCAGCGAACGCGAACGCTTCGGCATCCTTGTTCCCACCCGTTCAGCCACCGGACCATGTGCCCCTGCGCCAGCCTTCCACCAAAGCAGGATCGGAAGGGCATCCTATCACAGGCTGGCACCCACCAGCACCGTCCACGGTACCGAAGAGTAGCCATGGCACGATACGCAACAGCAATGGACACGGCCACGTGAGGAACCGCAGTTCAAGCGCGAAAAGTGCCTTTGCATCGACAGACAAAGCAAAGAAACTAGGTTTCTTTCGCAAGTCCAAAAAATCCGAACCACTTCATCCCAGTCGGGACAGTGGCAAGGGGTGGGAATATTCCGAACAACATGGAGAGGTCAAAAGCCTCTTGACGATGAACCCCACTAGGCGGGGAGAAAAGTGTGTGATGATGTAGGAATATGATCTTGTGTGAAAGAAGATGAAAAGCGAAATACCTCAGGTATCTTCCCGATGACGACCGTTATGACTTGCGAAGGATGATTGTCACATTTGAGAAAAAGGTCAGCATTACAAAATGGATACAGGGAGAGAGTTGTATGTACAGTATTTTCTGCACAATGAGTGTGTGCATATTGGGCGCAGATGGAGATACCCTGTAGAGGAAGCATGTGTAGCGGTCAGTTGCAATGACAATTGAATTTGTGCACAACGTGTACATGTGTTTAGATCAGCACTTTCGAAGACTCATTCAGGAATATGTAATTGCATGACCTAAGGTGAATTCGAGACTTGGAATCACGCGACCCAGCTGATACCTTAATGCTTACAGCTGTCTCCAACTCCAACTGCCTACGGCATCAGAATCTGTGTGCTCTTATGCCGTTATAAAGCTCATATCCCTTGTACTTCATCCTCTTCATCCATCCTTGCTTCCCAGCATTCATTCTCTCATTTCAATACTGCAGATCTGGGAGCTTCCTCAAAAAGTGACTAGGGCACTCATACCCGCTCGGGTTGTGGTGCAAATACATCTGATGATATTTCTCTGCGTCCCACCATTCGCCAGCCGGCAGAATCTCTGTCACAACCTTCCCTTTCCACCATTGCTCGCTGGCGGCTTTTGTAACTTTCTCTGCGATCTCTTTCTGCTCATCCGAGTGGTAGAAGATTCCCGAACGGTATTGTGAGCCAGTGTCTGGGCCTTGTCGGTTGGCGGTCGTCGGGTCGTGCATTTTGTAGAAGTATTCGAGGAGGGTTTGGTAGGTTACTTTTGTGGGGTCGAAGACGATTTGGCAGGCTTCCGCGTCTGGATAATAATGTTAATATGTATGAGATTTGAGGGGGCAATGCAATGTTCGCTTACGTCCTGTTCGTCCACTGCATACGGCTCTGTAACTGGGGTTCTGTGTGTCGCCTCCAATGTATCCGACTCTGGCATCCAAGAGGCCTTTGTCACCGAAGTCCTTGCGATACATGTGCTCAACGCCCCAGAAACATCCCGCGGCGATGGTAGCTTTTTGTGCGCCTTCGGGAAGGGTCATTGCTGCGGCGGTACCCTGCTCGCCGGCAAAGTGCATGGTGGAGCTTGAGAAGGGCCGGAAGATGCGTTGGATGAAGGACGACATGGCGATTCCTGCTATGAAGAGGAATAGGATTCGGTATTTGTTCTCAATCGTGATGGATTGTTGTGGATGATAGAGAGATGGTAGTGGCAAAGGTCTGGACGTGTTTGGAAGAGCTATGCTTGTGAGATTTGGATGGTTATGTCATCATCACTTCGGTGGGGTCCAAGTGAAAGGGACCGACATCCGATTTCCCTTTCTTTGGAAAGCACGTGGAGTGGCCCACGATGATGGGTTCACGTTCGCGTCCATGGAGAAGTCGTGGGTTCTGCATGTTTTCACCAACGCAGCGAGTCTATCTACATGTCTCAGATCTGTCTCTACAGACAAAAAGATCACATCCTAAGCACGACGACGGAAATATGTCTCGCGAGGGGCACGCTGCTGTCGGCAGCTCGGCAGAGCCAGAGCCTGGACTAGGAACGTCGGCGGTCTCGGGAGGCAAAAAGTCGTATTCGCAGGAAGATCGTCCAAGCGCGAAGCAGCTCGTGTTTCGAAGCACAGCTACAACACGATAACGAACTTGGATATGCAATGGAACGGATGCTGCTATCTGGGAGGACAGGGTCAGCCCGTTGTCGCACGATCAATGCACGACGAGGAGAATGGCAGGATTGTGGTGAATAATCGTGAAAGTTTGGCGTCCACGTATGCCTCTCGTGCCAAGTCTTTCGCCTTTTTATAGGCTTTGCTGAGCCTCAAGAGTCAACCGAGCCAGCGCGTGGAGCGTGGTCAATTGGTGGTTTGACCCTTGCTGACGGTTAGCTCAACACTGCTCTGAACGTTTCCATCATTCTTGCTGCTGTCGTGTGCGATTCACTTCTTCTGTCCATATTCACCTACAATTCGCCACTTGGTGCGGGTTTTCATCCTAGCATACATCGATAGTCACACTCGCTACGCGTCTAGTAGGCTACCCAGAGATCTGGAGTGATCGACGGCGTGGGTAGTCTCTTGGCTGCTTTCTGCATCTTCCGCTCCGCGTACGACGAGTGTTGTGCGGTTCCCCCGAGTGGCATGAGCGGCCAGCAGCAGCGACTGCCCTGTTCCAGCTCACCGAAAAACATCGTCGACGTCTATGCCGGACGACGACCATCGACCGCCGCCTCGCCATCGAACCACCCTCGCTCCAGGCGCCAATGCGGATGCACCTTCACGACACCCGATGACCGCACGGCAACAATGAGGACGCTCCCGCACAGCGTCTGGTCGACGCTGTCGTGCTGCTTACTCCTGCTATCGCTATCACACCTCCCGACCGCCCACGGCGCATTCATCAGCTTCGAGAACTGTCTGAGCGACAGCACCCTCAACTCCAATCCGAAACTCCTCCAGTTCACGCCCTACTTCGTCGACGCGAGCTTCCTCCCCACCGAGCAATCGAGGAGGAGCCTGAACTTGACAATATATGGCAATGTCTCAGGGCAACAGTTCTTGGACCCATACCCGCCGGCTTCTGATCCTGTGTGGACAAACCCCAATGAGACCTTTGGCAAGATCGCAGATATTGGCAATGACAACAAATACTCCACCCTGACGGCGGACTACGATGTGTTGACATTCACGGCCCATGATAACTCCGGCGAGAGATTCTGCCCGACGTTGGTCAATGGGACTGGTAGCTGCCCACTGGGGCCAGTCTTCAACGCCAGCCGATATGACCGGGAATCTCTGCCCGCATTCACTGTAAATCAGCCCTTTGGCAGCTCGTATGCCTTCAGCACAATCTCTACAACTGTCCACGTCCTTAGTGGTGACCGTGGAGCCTTCAACATCGCTTGCGTAAGCGTGCAAATCACTCCCGACCTAGGCGACAGTGTAAGGGGAATGCTCAGATGGCTTCCTCTCTCCATATTGATCGCCAAGGGCCTGGCGACGCTCGCGGCTGCGATATGGTCTCCATGGGGCAGTTCGGACATCTTCAAATGGAGCAGCAACTATGGGAGAGACGAAGATTTGCTGCGACTGGTGACGCCGGGTTTTGGCGACTGTTTGCAGTACATTCAATTCATCGTGCTCACGGGAAGCTTGACACTGCAGTATCCTGGCTTCTTCCGGCCCGCTGTCAGTCAGTCTGCATGGTCAACTCTTATGTTCAACCAAAGCTTCGTCAACGGTGGCGGGACGCAAAGCTTGGTGGATGGACTGTACAGAACGAACAATGCTACCTATGGCTTGACGAGGATGAGCCAACTGGTTGGAATGCAAGAAGATTCAGACATTTGGGCAGGAATGGTCATTTGGCTATTGGTGATTGCGGCAGTCGTCATTGCACTTTGCCAACTAGGATTCCTCGGTCGCTGGCTGATTCACCAAGCGATGCACACCACAGAGGAGGACCTCCGCCAGAAGAACTTGCCGTTCACCCTGGGAAACATCATCAGGCTGCTCTTCAACTACTTCATCCTCCCGATCGTGGCGTTGAGCTTGTTCCAGCTAGTCATTGCCCCAAGCTCACCAGCGAGCGTTGTAATCTCAGCAACCATTCTTCTCGTCATCATGGTCGTATGGGCCGGCTGGATCTTACGCGTCATTTTCACCACGAAGCCCAGGACGCTGCTGTTTGACGAGATGACAACTGTTCTGCTCTACGGACCGTTGTATAACACATACAGCGACAGTGCAGCACCATTCGCCTTGGTCCCGGTTTTCATCACATTCATGCGTGGAGTTGCCATCGGTGCGATCCAACCCTCGGGCATTGCTCAGATCATTGTGCTGGCCATCTGCGAAGTTATACTGATTCTAACGTTGAACGGCTTCCGACCTTTTCAAGGACAGACAAGCATGAATGCGTATCACACGTTCTTCGCCAGTGTCAGGCTAATCACTGTTGTCCTCATGATTGCCTTTGCACCTAGCCTAGGTGTGACCGAGGCCCCCAAGGGCTGGATCGGATATATCATTCTACTGTTGCATGCCTGCGTACTCCTGTTCGGCTTCTTCATGAACTCCATGCAGACGCTGATTGAGGTAGTTGCACGTGCCATGGGTGCTGGAGATGACAAGACCAACGGAGCTGTTCGAGGAAGTATCCTCAATTGGCGCACCTTGAAGAAGCGGCCCGACAGGAAGCGCGAACCGGCTGATCGCACCAGCATGAGTAGTGCTGCAATGCTGACCACCAATCAGGCCGGGTACGGCACACGAAGCAGGTCCATCTCGGCTAGCAGCCAGCAGCTCCTGAACCGGATGAGTGGCTTCGAGAATTTCAGCCAAGGAGAAGGCGTCAGTTCGCCGGATCCGGATCTGGAAAATGCCGATCAGCTGGGACAGACTGTCTCGCACGGTCGAGTGTCCTCAAACGCCCCGAGAGCTGATGGGGATGGCTACTACCGTCCACCGCGGCCACGGAAGGCTACTATCGAGACTCTTGGGGGCGCGGCTGCGAAGACCAGAAGCAAGAGCGATTTCCCGTACCAGGACGCGCCAGCAGGTCCTGGGGGCCACGTTCGCGACGCTAGTTACGACAGCACTACGTTTGGCTCTCCAGCTCCCGCATACCTGCGCACTCGAGCAGGCTCTAATGATGAAGGCGGCAAATACGAACCGGCCAACAGGACCGACTACGCGGTACGCGAGGTTGACCAGTATTACAGAGGGCCCGCACTCAATGGGCAAGCTACCAGAAAGCTGAAGACTGGACCCGCAGATCCTACTGGGCCTGCCTCGACTGCGCAAAGCTGGTTCCATAAGCTCCTCTTTGGTGTCAAGGGCGGCAAGACGAAGGACCAGGGCAAAGGCTTCGAGGTGGTCCGATCAGCCAGGATGCCGCCAGATATGGCGAAAGAAGAAGGCGTCGAGATGACCACAAGCCCGCCCATGCATTCCGATGAGCCTTACCAGGATATGCCTGATACTCCTGGATCGCCGCCTCAAGCTGTTGCAGGTGCTGCACGTTCTGTTGATGGCACTCTAGACCGTTCTGCGAGCCCTGCCAGCCCTGTAGTCGCCACAGGCACTGCTATGGGACCGGCCGATTTGACTGACTTAGAGACATCCCCCAAGCGAGGCGACGATAGCTTTGACTTCCAATTTCCCGGCGTACGAGACAGCACTTTGACTACCAGGAGTCGCGTTCGTCCAGATAGCGATGCATTGGGGATGCCTGTTCTCGAGCCTATAACCTTCGAGCATGCAGATGCTATCGGCGTCGCACCAACACCGCCACGTAGATTGAGCGATGCGTCTGCTGCGAGCCGAGATTCATCTCAGTTCGGGCACCAGGATCAAGGACCGCCGCGTGCCAAATACTCGGACAGACCAGCTCCCATTCTGGCTCCAATCGAGACGAGTCCTAGCATCGACCTGCCCTCACGCTTCAACAGCACTGCTTCTCGGTTCACCACAACCCAGGAGACTCAGGGAGGAGCACTCAATACTGCGGCTGTGCCCTCACGAATCAATTCGAGCAGGAGTGCTGCACTCGGCAACGTCGACGACATTAGAGAGTCTGCCGGCGGTCAGGACTGGCTCCGCGCTGTCGACAACATCAACTGGGGCAACCACTCGCGAGATCCCAGCATCCGTGGTGGTGCAGCTGGACTCTCCACCCAGTCTTCCAGACAGTCCTTCCAGCCTGCGCCGCCATCCGTGCCCAGGCGAAGCTCGAGAAGGGCATCGAGCCAGGAAGTCAGCGTCAGTCATAGACAACAGCTTGCTCGACAGCACACATCCAACCTTTTTGAAGGCTTCGACAGTACTGGAAACATCGCCGACGTCGACGAGGACAGACCAAGACAGGCATCTGGCGCAAAAGCAAGTTACGTCAGTCACCATCGCGCCCAGGATAGTATCTCTCGGAACAGCATCGGTGCTGCTGCTGCCCTGCGAGAAGGCACTGCGAGCGTGGAATATAGCACCACGCCGAACCAAGGAGAAGACTATCTGGGCTCGGCTGGACACTAGCAACATTTCAAGGATGACATATGAGCACTTTTATACATAATAATGGGAGGCACGCGGCTTCTGAGAATTAGCGCGGCGTTACGGCTTTGATTTCAAAAATGGAGAGGGCCCTCACGATCACAGAAGTGGGCGGGACATGAAACGAGTACGGCCGTATTCAAGGACATTCTTTTATGGAAGCGAAGGACTCAAAAAAGTTCTGTGTCGGTAATTGCTGCTGTATGATGATGGGTGCAAGAGTGTTCCCACTGTAGCTAGCTAAACTTAATGACAGAGTCTGTTGTGTATTGTAGCCGCCTTTCCAGGCCGTGCATTGACAAGAGTACAAGTTGCCGGACCAAGTGGCCTCATTCGGCATGTCGACTTGTCCAGCGTTTCTGTCCTGGGTCGCTGCCGCCAAGCCGCTGAGGAGTGTTACCAGGCCGACACCTTTAGGCTTTTAGGTCCTGAAGAACCACGGTGAACGTAGCGCACAGTGAATGAGGACACAAAACAGAGTTGTCGGATGTGGCAAGCCCTTTGATTGGACCCCTCATGTCGAGCCACAGTGCAGAGTGAATGAGGCCGCAATGTGGGTTCTGTACCAGTGTTCTCTTGAACGATCTTTATATACTGCGCTCGCCCGTCTCTTTTCTCTCTTTCTTCTCTCATTCTCCATTCTCGAGAATCTGACGCTACTAGCATCAACCGCTCACGGAATCGCACGCTGCCTACAGCAATACCAGAGACTATCACGATCAAAGATTACAAGACAAGAACCGCCAACATGTTGGACTTCAACTGCCTCGAACGCCATGCAGACGCTTCAGCCAAGTTCAACGACCGCCGCAGAGCTTACTCCGCCATGGAGTTGACGGAGCTATGCATAGACTTCATCAAGGCACCATACGACAAGTGGGACGCTGACCGCAAACAAGCCTTGTCGGACCTCAAAGAGTGGTATACCGCTTGGGACGACATGTGTGAGGATTTCGGTCACGAAGTCCCGGAGGGAACGGACATGATGAAAGCCATCTCCCTCATCAGCAAAGTCTTTTTCGACGGACGACTGAACCATGTTCAGTTCGTCTGGGAGACTCTAGTGCAAGAACTAGTCAACGGCAAGCCAAAGGGAGACATCATCTACGCCACGACCTCGATTCCCGACGAAGACGACAATTCGGACGAGAATCGCCCAAAGATTCGACAAGATGCGCGACTTCGCATACGCACTGGACCTTACGATCACCGCGCAGCAATTTTCGACACTCTGCTGCACGAATGCGTCCACGCATACCTCGGGACCTACGCTTGCGGTTCCGAAACCTGCGAGTGCGAGAGCAAGACCACTCGCGACGTGGGGAAGACTGGCCACGGGCCAACGTTCTTTCTCATCACGACACACGTCGCCGCTCTCTTCGAGGAAGACGCAATTGACTGGCGTTTTCCGAAGCCTCCAATGTCGCTGGATTACAGCTTGGAGCAGGAGAACAGGGCGAGCGGGATTGTCCTGCGCAATGAGGACATCGAGAAGTGTGCTCCGAGCTTTCAGGAGCACCTTCGAGGAATTATGAGAAGGCAGCTCACGGCCAGAGAGCAAAGCCCTGACTCTGAGTAGAGGCAGGCTCTCTGAGCTGCTCAGGGTGGGAATGGGGAGGAGGGTATCGAGAGGGGCTGTCCGAGATCCGAGTACATTTAGGAAAGGTTATCGCGAGACACCAGCCCTCTCTCCGAAAATGCGAGGAGTTTCTCTGCCCCTTTGCCTAGCACTGAAGCGCGATTGCGTTGTAGAGAGCTGTTGGAGACCCGAGTACATTTAGGAAAGGTGAGCTCGGAAACAGTACTCCCTCTCTGAGGATGCGATGATTTCAATGCTCTTCAGTCTGGTTAAGCAGCGGATCGCGGGGGAGAGAGCTGCCTGAGACACGCATTTCAGGGGACATTTGAAGGGAGAAAGTGGGAAGGAAAGGATGGATGGGATGGGATCATGGGAAGGGTACTGAGGACGGGATCGGGATTATGGGAAGGGAATCGAGGATGGGATGGAATGGAAGGATTGTTGGGCTCTCTTCAAGGGTATCCCCAAGGGGCCACGAGGGAAACGAACAATTGTTGGATCGAAATGCTTGCAAGAACAAAACCCAAGGGATATCTGGAGGGAGCACATGGAAAGGAATGTTGGTAATGGAATTCGGATGGGGATGGGACTGGTGGAAAAATTGTCCGCGGTCTTCTGCAGCGTTCATGGGTCGAGCTTCGAACTCCTCGTGAAGCGTCTGCTTGAGACTGGACAGGATGGTAGAATGAGACAAAAGGCTGTTCTGAATACAACAATTCTCATTCACGACTGACTCACGTGAAACCTTCCCTGTGCATGTGCTTGTTGCACATGAGTCTCACAAACATGACAAACAATTCTCTGCGGTGATGAACGGTTTTTGTTGTATATTAGTATCACTCACAACACATGAGAAACGGTCTCGGAAATAACACAACACTCGCTCTTCGCAAGAAACAACCCTAGTGCACATTGACGCCTTGCGAGAACCGAGCTGTACTGAGGCAAAGCCTTGATAACATGGCATCTCGGGGCCCCAACCCTTTCTTCCAGACGCCGGTGTCTGGATTCCGAGACCTGCCTCGAGGAACGCCAAGCCGAAACTTATTCTTTGGTCGCCCAAGTAGGCCATCACAACGAGGTGAAGGACCTTCCGAGACACCAGAAAACGATGCCGACAGACAGAGATGGGAAGCCCGCGAAAGGCGCATAGCTGATATGCTCCGCCCGATCGAAGAAGGTACGTCCGCCCATTGCAAAAATATGTGGTGACTCTGCCAACCCGATGCGAGACTAACGAGAGGGAATTCCCAGAACTGCAAGGTACCTTCATGCGGAACATACGGCGCGCGAGATATCGACGCTGGCGTTACAGCGTCGAGCGCGCTCGACTGCGAGAGGAGAGGCATGAGGATCAGGCTGAGATCGACGGGTTGTTCAATCGAGCAGGCACTCAGTTGAGCTATGAGGGTATCGTAGCTCTGATGGAAATTCTTCATGAGGAGCTGTCAGTTCGGGAGAGTAGAAGCTCCTAGCTGTTGTTTTGATGTCGTTGGTTGAGATTTATGCTGGCGGTTTGTTCTCTTGGCTGTGTAGAGGTATACTACGAGGAGCCCTACAGTGCTGCTCCCTTTTCGAGGTCGTGAAGCAGACAGATCCTGAATTGGAGTACGTGGTGTCTCTAGATTGTATTCTTGAATCCGAGCTCTATTACACCTTTCAACAGAAGTCAGCCTTGCAGCGTAACAACACATTTCGACTCTCGTGCAAGCCCAGCGTGCCAAGCAATCAAGATCTCGCGCTGTCACGCCTGGAGCCTAGCTTCCCTCAATGGCCTTCGATGGCTCTCGTGATATAAGGCTTTTCGAGGTACTCCTCTTCTTCCGGTGTCAATTCCTTCCCTCTTGCTGCCAGAGCCTCGTCCAAACGTGCTTCGCTGCTGAAACCAACAATCGGACTAGCCACTCTCTTGTTGATCCAAGCCAGTGCAACCTGGGACATGGTCCAGCCTTTCTTCTCGGCAAGCTCTTGCACTCGCTTGATGATCTCCTTGTCGGCAGGGCTGGAGCCACTTTCGAACAGTGGAGAATCAATTTCGGATTTTGATCGCTCAGTGTTGCCATATTCTTTCGGTGGCCGTGCAAGGAAGCCTCGGCAAAGTGGTGACCAGGGAACAAGGCCGACGCCTGTTTCGTTGCAGAACCGGTTCATTTCACGCTCTTCTTCTCGGTAGAGCAGGGAATAGTGGCTTTGGACAGTCAGCAAGGATTTAGTGCTGGAACACTTGTGAGAATCTTACTTTTGCATGCTGATAAACTTAGTCCATCCGTGCCTTTCAGCAACGAATTGCATTTGTGCAAATTGGTAGGCCCACTGTCGTCAGCTGTCAGTAAGCTCCCCAGCATTTTTCAAAGTGTCGACCCATACCATGCTAGAAGCTCCGATGTACCGGACTTTGCCGCTCTTGACCAGATCATGAAGAGCCTCCATCGTCTCTTCGACTGGCGTATAAGGATCGAATCTGTGGATCTGCAGAACATCCATGTAGTCCATGTTCAGTCTCTTCAGACTCGCATCCACAGTTCTGAATATCGCGCCTCTTGACAGACCGCCTTGATTGACGTATTCTTTGCTCTCTGCAATTTTCTCGCCATACACGATGCCTCTTGTGCTCACTTCCTCGCCAACGTATCCGTAGATCTTGCTCATGATGACAAGCTTTTCGCGATTGAGGCCATATTTGCTGATAGCTTTGGCGATGATCTCTTCGCTGACTCCGTTCGAGTAGACGTTGGCAGTGTCCCAGGTGTTGAGACCTTTATCGTACGCGGCCTTGAGCAGGGGAAGTGCTTCGGCTTCTTCAATGACCCATGGCTGCCATTCCTTTGATCCTGGAATACCATTCAGCTCTCGATTTCTAAGATCTTGGACATGAATGCTTACCGAAGCTCATGCAGCCGAAAATGGGGTTCGATACCCGGAGGCCTGATTTCCCCAGGTTGACATATTTAGCCTTCGTAGCAGCTATAGAGCGCAAGACAATGTCGTCGCTGTCTGCCATGGTGGAATGCTGTGGGAAATGCTCAGTGTGTCCAAAATTTTGCAATGAAGCTACGAGATGAGGGACAAGAATAAGCGTAAACCATTGAGACAGTCAACAAACAACCAAGCCTACTCGAGCTACTCAAGCTACTGTAGCTCTTGCAGCTCTTTACCAGTATCGTCGTCATGGACTATGAGCTGTCTGATGCGGCCACGGGGAACGAGTTGCTGATCCGGTAATATGCACAGGGTGGAGAGGAGTCGCTCCACAGTGTGAGACATCGCCATAGGATGTTGGAATGCGCCAATGCCTCAGCATGATGACATCGAAGATCCATGTTGAGGGCGAAAGGTGGGTGGAGCTGGAACTGCTTGAATTGAATCGCTGCTGCCTCAGGCATGATCTCTCGCATAATCTTTTCCCCGAAGCACACGAGGCACGGAGGCCTCCTTCTAGATCTAAGTTAGTCGGCGTCTACATATTCATTATCACATGTTACACACTATCTCTAACCCATAGCCACAATTTCAGCGCATATTTATCGTCCACTGGCTGGACAGAGCGCAATACTGGCATGAAGCGAAGCGTCTCTTCCGTCTGAAACTCAGCTGTTGCCGGCGAATCCCCTTCACTCGACGCGTCTGCCCCGTACGCGCTTTTCCAGAAGTCCAAGAGCTTCAGCGATGGATGAGATTCGTGTTCGTTTGCAGGCGCAGAAATGTCTTCAAGCTTGGCGAGCCACTCTCTGGGGCTAACGGCTTTGATACCTTCGGCATTCTCGAGCCAGCCCAGGAGCATCTTCCAGGTGGTCGTACGGTCCTGATTGAGCAGGTGAACCACCTGGACATTCTCGTTCCTCGAAGACGGTTCTGGTATCTTGCTCTGTTGGCTCAGTCCGAGCTCGATAAAGGCTTGCGCAGCTGTATCCACGGGCAGCCAGCCAACGCTTTCACGCGGCAAATCTGGTAGGCAGCCGGTCACTTTGGCGCTGCTCAACATCAATGGATACGCTTCGCTCTTGTTCCATACGCCATTGACGGTGTCTCCGCTCAGCTGGCCGACTCGTACAACACTGACAGCATTCGCTAGCTCGGGGTGCACCTTGACCGCTTGGAGGCAGATATTCTCTGCAACCCACTTGGATCGAGAGTAGCCGATGTTTCCGCTGCACTGTGCGTCAGCCTGAACTTCCTCTGGGACCTCCTCTCCAGCTCTGATCTGGCTATATGATGCCACCGAAGCAGTGCTCGAGCAAAAGATGAGCCGCGCCGCCTTTGATGACCCGGGACTTGACCCATATTTCGAATGTTGTAACGAGAGATTGAGAAGGTTCTGGAGACCTGCAAAATGCTGACGGAAGCCTTTCAAAGGCAGGATGAAATCTACCGCCCAAGCGAGATGAAAAATGGTGTCGACCTCCTCAGCCAGCTTCGCGTATACGTCGGCTGCAAGGCCCAGGTGGGATGCTGAAAGGTTGCTGATATGAATGGTGACTTTGCGTTCAAAGTCTGTCGGCACAGGCAATTTTCTGCTGACCAGCGCCTTTCTCACTCTCTCCTCTGCCGCTTGCTGGCTGGCGCCTCTCACGAGCACATGAATGCGTGACACTTCAGAACGTGTTACGAGCTGGCACAGTAAGTGGCTACCGAGAGAGCCAGTCATTCCGGTGAGAAGTATAGTTTTTCTCGGCTCCGTCTGAGTTGGCGACGGCGTGCGAGGCGGTGTGAGTGTTGACTGATGAAGCTGCGCAGCGACATATGAGTCAAGCTGGCTATATTTTTCGACAAAGCTGCGCATCAGCTTCGTCTGCTCATCAGTGCTTGAGGACTCTGGATTTCGATCATGGCGAAGATCAATCAACGCTTTGCTGAGCTGTTTGATGCTTCCAGTGTCCTGGACGATAGTCAATGGTAGACGTTTACTGCCTTGCGGCAACAGACGAGAGACAGCGTGCCTGATTTGGATACAGGCCACCGAGTCGACGCCATACGCAAACAGATCCGTGTCTGACTCCAGTTTCGATTCAGCGCTCGTGGCGGACACAATCGACGAGACGGCATCAGAGACGAACGACTCTACATCGTCATCGGCAACTTCGACCTTGCCAGACGGTTCTTTCTCATACGCCTGTTCAATTTCCGAGGCATACCGCTCTTCTGCTATTTTGCGAAGAACTGTGCCTTTGCTACTCTTCTCGAGCGGCTTCTCAGCGTAAGGCATCGGAACCAACATGCTTTTCGGTATCCGCGCATGACCTTGGCTGTCTCGATTCACCTCTTCAACGGCGGGAGCGAAGTCCTTGAGTAAGTCTTCGTCTAAGACGTCCGCAGCCGCGGAAGATCGAAACACCAAAGCGCCAGGACAGGGACGGCCGTTGCCAAAGATCAAAACATCCTGTACCGACGATGACTTCACAGCCAAGCTGTCTTCAAGAGGTGCAGGATCGAACTTCTTACCAGTGATCAACGTCAATTGCGAGTCTGCCCTCGAATCATACCTCCATGCGTTCGGAATAGTGGGATGTCGTTTGAACAGATCACGAGTGGCGAAGGACCCATCCTCACTGACCTTGTCAACTTTGGAGATGAATGGCCAGGTAGGAGGTACTATGAGCTCGCACAAGCCATCATCTCTCTCCTCGAAGTTCACCCCTCCATCTGGCCGCAGATATTCCCATTCGCGGTCTTGTTCGTAATCGCGGTGGGACGACATGAGGAAGCCGCACTCCGCACTGCCCATCCGGGATATGAGGTTAACGCCCTGATCAACTAGACGATTACCCACTTCCGATGGTAAGGCGGCACCTCCGACAGCGACGATGTCCATCCCGCGAAGGAATTTCATGCCTTTGTCTTCTGCAGCCATCATTTCGAGCACATAAGGAACTGAGGCGAAGTACTTCACTGGAGGCGCATCGGTCTTTGCTGCTACCTCCAAGCATTTGATGATGTTGGAACCAGTGATCGGGACATCCTTTCCGGGGAACAGCCAAATGAGAGCCCTACTCGTCCACGCCCGGAACGAGTCTGCGACACCGCCATGGTATAACGGCGTTGTTGTGAAAGTGGCGTGTTTGGTGCCATCAAACCTGGCATAGGCTCCGGCACCACCATAATGCGTTTGCGGAATCGGCTTTGGCACACTGGAAGACGTCCCGGAACTGTGGTGAAGGTAGGCAGTATCGTCCCTCGCAGCATTGCTATCTGGCACGGGTTTCGTCAGAGGCTGCTGTGCGAGCTCGAACGGACTCTTGTCTGCATTGAATGGTAACAGATGGGTGGCCAATTCCACGTTCGCGCTCTTTCCTGCCAAGTCTGTATATGCTTCGTCATGAAAGAGCTTCTTAACGTTGCATTGCTTACACAGCCCAGCAATAGCAGTCGGTGAGCATTGTGGCGCAATCAGCAGGACAGGGTGGCCAAGCCTCATCAATCCCAGCCATGCAAAGAGGAATTCCGGAGTACTCGAGCTCAGCAATCCTACAGTTTCCCCATGCGGTATGCTGACCGGTTTGGCGATAAGTTGTGCTGTCGCACAGGATCCTTGAAGGAGCTCTCGAAAGTTCAACACTCGTGTTTGCCACTCCTCGTCGCCGTTGCTGCCAGGTATGTAAGACCCCACTGCTGGAGTCTCAGGATCTGATTCTGCTGCTTGCCGAATAAAGTCGTTGATATTCGTGAAGTCATCATTTTCCTTATACGGTTTGGCTTGTCCAAGAGTGCAAGTGAAGTATGTGGGATCTGGCATGATGTTCAATAGAACTAAAACCAACAGAACAGTCAGGTAGCAGCATCTGAAGAAAGTCACCAATCTGACAGCTCAGAGCAAGCTGCAAAGCTGCAAAGTAATGACATGCATATAGCTTATGACGTGTACATCTATGAGGTACCTCACATGTGAAGAAAGTCGTCGCTGGCATAATAGATTAAGTTTTGGCTAATGCATTCATCGACTTGGCCGGTATCGGGTCCGTACCAAGAGTGTTCTATGATTCGTTGTGGTGTCACACAAGCTGTGGATCTCTTCCACCTTCCAACTGCACGAGCAAGGAATCCACGCGAGCAAGCCACGAATGGAGGACAGAACAGTCATGGCGTAATCTGACCTGAGCTGGGGAGCGAGGGTCTTTGTTCCGGAGGCACAATGTTGCCGCCATGAGTAGAGGGAAGAATTATGCAAGCAGAGAGAGCATTCATACTGATTTTCTTCCAAATACAATGACCAAGTATCCGATCCTCAATCATCAATCAATCCATCTCCACTTTCTCTCATGCAGTAACGAGCTTTCCAAGCTCCATCCAGGCCGCATTCCTTACAAGAAGAAACAAGCCAATGGGTTCAGCAAGCTGCAGTTACCCTTCTTGTTTGGCACATAGCATCCATTTCCCTGTGGGCGAGAAGAACATCCACACTGTCCCTTGTAGATCGGAGTTCGTGGTCCAAACTGCTGGACTTCTTGGGCATTCGAGTAGTCCTGGGCGATGTTCAGCAAGGCCAAAGTCAGCGGAGTGAGGTCTTTGGCGCGGGTCCTCTGCTGGACGGCAGCTGCTGCATCCGCAACGGCGACTTTCAACTTGATCAGACCAGGGCCGATGTAGTCGATGAATGGGCGTGGGCCTTTGATGTACTCCGCTCTTTTCTTGACATAGATTTGATCGGCGGCGAGGGTATTTGGTCTGAATGGAGTAAGGATATATTTCTGAATCGCCTGCTGAATCAAAAACTTACCCGAGCTTATTGGTGATGAATTCCAGAATAGCCTGGGCTCCTGCATCGGTATAGAAGCCGCCACTGCTGCTTGCTGCAACTCCGATCGCCTCCCAAGCAGCTAGAAGATCCGCATTCGCACTGGCAAGGGCTTCGTAATCGGCATCAACGCCAGCTCTGTAGCGGCCTGCAATCTCGCCAGAGGCAACCGTCGCGTGGTCACACTCCTGCAGAAGTCCGACAACCTGAGCGGAGTTCTCTGACGCATCGAACGAGACTTGCGCAGTAGCGCCGAGGGCAAGCGCAGTGAGCGAGAGAAGCTTGAATGCGACCATGATTGCTGAGCGAGGGGATGTGGTTGATGATTGTAGATTGTAGATGGTCGGTGCTGTGATACCAATTTCTTTGGTCATCCTCTGCCTCTTTATACCATCTCTCTATCGACCACCTGCGCAAAGCTTATGGGATACAATTCCGAAAGAGGCAGGAAATGCATGACCAGCCGCCGCGGGTGCTTCGAATCGCGCAAACGTTTCAGCTGTTCTTTGCTGAGCCGGCGATGATGATGTAAGGCATCATTGTACATGTTCGTGGTTAGCAATGGTGTGTGGTGAACGGCAGCCATCGATGATAGACTTGCGGCTCGAGTCTAATGTTACAGAAGCCGTATAGCTCATGGCCGCACATGGCCATGCCACGTGGGTATCGTTCTCAACCCGGAAGGTAAGACAACATTTGAACAGGCTGGAAGGCTTCGGTGTCGGCGTGGGCATACATATCAAGTGTGTAGCATGCTTTGGAAATGAGCCACAGCAGAGAGTGTCCACTCAGTTACAGGCCGAGTCTGTATAATCTAGATGGTCGATGATTGCCTGCCTGAGTCAGTAACAAGACATTAAATCTCATTTGGAGCCTTTTCTCCCGCGATCCCGCTTTCGGTATGCAGTGAGGTCGTGATCCCGTGCATTGTTTGAAGCAGGCCGACTAGAATCTACCAGTACGCAGTCACTTATGTCGCAGTCTTGGTGGGTCAATGGAACGGCTAAGTCGGCAGTCTGACTCGACAGCTGGAGGACCAGTCATGACTCAAGCAATGCATTCTCTTGTAAAGGCAGTCGATATATTCAGGCCACTGTGACCGAGACGGCCAGTACTGGCATCTGCAAGGAATTCAGCGCACCACTCACAGCAGCTTTTGGGCGCATCTTGCGTGCGGCTCCAGGGACACGGAAATACCAGGTTTCCACAAGAGCAAGCCACGTGTGGTTCCAGACACTGCCATTGCTCGCAAAATGATGAGATAGCGGCCGCGCTTGCTGCAGCATATGCTCCAGCTCGTTCTAGCACAAAATCAAGCGCACCGTTGCCGCTCTCCGTGCTTCAAGATCTGCATGCAACGCCATGCATCACCCGATAGTACGTGCGCCAAGAACTCAAAGATTTGTATTCTGCGAAGCATCGCCTTCCACTCCCTCATTCATACGCCCCAACATACGAGCAGTGCGAACTTCTTCAGGGCATGACCAGGATGGCAGCTCAAGCTGCCCGAAGAGGCGGATGCTCGAAGTCTCTGCAATGCTAAAGGATAAAGACACCGGCAGGCGTGGAGGGGTACGGTATGAACTGTGATTTGCTTGTATGTATGCACCACGTCGCGAGTGCAACGAGAGTTCGGTGTGTTGCGTGAGATATGTACCGATTCCTTCATCCGTCATCGGGTATGGGCGTTCGACCAATCACCTTAACCGTGGGGTTGCCGCAATCATGTCCTCCATACGCAACGGACTTTGTCTTGCATCTGGAAAGACATTTTGCAGCATTTCGAGATCCTCATTTGGCGACAAGTTCTCTTCTAGCGGCGCGTGAACAAGATCGACGAGCTCCTGATCCAGTTCTCGCAGCATCCTGAAGTGATCCCTCAGTTCTGGGCATCTTGCTTCCACGAGCGCATTGACGACGACAAGAGTGCTCTCATAGGAAAGACAAGTAGTTCGCTCGCGGGGATGAATATTTTCCGACCACTGCTCATCGCCCGAGTCGTCGTCGATCTGAATATTCGAATAGAACTCGGCTGGAGTTGGCGTCCGCAACGGTTCTTCGAGCTGCGGCGCCACGATCATGCAAACGCGACAATAATTCTCCACAACTTCTTGTTGCCGCTGCCGGTCTTCCCAGCGCCTTCGAGCAAGTTCTGCCATTTTCTGTTCCTAGATTATTTTCTCGAATGCTCACACGTTCTCCGGTAGCTGTGTGGAGTTTTGCGAATGTGATGAGTATCTGATAGCTCCACAATGTCGGCTGCACACCCGATATATGCCTGTATGAGCGTTTGAACGTTGTAAGACATGATCGATATGTCTAGCGCAGCGAGACAATCATGTCTCAAATTGGCACAGTCTTGCTCTTCGTCTAAGGTCGATGTGTGAGAGGCGCTGTCCAGTCGCGCAAGATCTGACACTTGAGTAAACGAGTCCGTGACCACTGCCAAAAAGCACCTGGTCTAGACAGTTCAGCAGTATTCAAGACTTGTTCCTCGCTATGCAACAATCAAGGTGCGCGCCAGGCGAAGCCCTCAGTACGTGAGGTGCAATAATGGGTGCGTCACTAAACTCGCGCTGCGTTCATATGATCTGCTGTTCGTTAGCATTGACTCAAGCCTTCGATGTTTAAGTGAGCTTACCTTGGCATTCTCAGCCTATCTCGGCCGACATAGTCGGCACGTATCTTGCTTCGGCGGTCGCCAGCTGAAGCACCAAGATACGCGTTCACTTCTGTCAAGGTTTGACTTGAATGGGGTTTTACTCAAAATTCAAGGGAATCGCTCAATCCTCGTCGTCCTCGTCCTTTCTGCGCCGAGCTCCAGGACTCGCGCTTCGCTCTCGCCCACCTTTCCTCTGTCCCTTTGGCGCAGAGCCCTTCGTAGGTGGGGGCCGGACAAAGGCATAGTCGACACCAATCTTCTGCTCCAGCAATTCCTTGCCATCCGCATCCTGAATTGCGGCTTTCGCCTCGTCCAATGTTGGGTACTCAATGAGCACATAACCCTGCGATAGGAACATGTCAGTCTTACGCATATCCGACACCGGACTTTCCCGGCTCAGGAGTGGTGTCCTGTGCATGGCTGCGCACCTGCCACATCCACTTCGTCCTCTTGTTCTTTCTTACCTTGACATAACCTGTCCTTCGGTCCAGATTCATGTGCAAGTTCTTGATGTCTCCGTACTCTCCAAACATGTCTTGAATATCTTCCTCCGAGGCTTCCTCGTGCACATTGGTCACGATGATGATCCAGCCCTCGATACTGCGCACGGCGGCCGCATTCTCTGCTGTTTTGGTGTCTTGGCCCGATCGGCTGGTGCTGCTCTTTGGCTTTGACTCTTCGGTATCGGAGTGCGCCTGGGGCGCGTCGGCCATTTCTTCGTCGGCCATGATCGGGTCGAGTGTCGAGTATTCGGTAGGAGCGGTGTTCGTGTCGTTGGCAGTTGAGGGCAAGTTGAAGTTGAAGCCTGAGAGCCTGAAAGCATGGACTGCCAAGCATTTCCGGATTTCGAGCCGCAAAGTCAGACATTCTTCCTCGTCGAACTTTCACTTCACTTCATGCTTCCTCATATTGACGATCACAGGACGGCGATCACTGTGCCCATGCATTCGATGATGGCGAGAAAGCAGTCTCAGTTCAGCTCAACTACCTATTGCTGCCGGTTCAGCGCGGTGGAGTTGTCCGCCTCACGAGGAGATCCGAACTGAAACAACGCGTCTGCAGAAGTCGGCGAAACTATACCAAGAGACATGTCACCATTTCGGACCTCCTCCGCAGGATTCGAGGCAGAAGTCTCCCTTCTCAAGCAATCACGACGCATCCGGCTACTTCTCCTTCACGGAACTCCTACAAGGTCCTCTCTGAGGAGCGGCTCTCTAGATCGCGTCATGCGGGATGGAATCAGCTGTGGGCTGGATGCGTCAACAACACCGCAAGGTGTTTGTCCCAAAAGGTTGCAAGATCAAGTTTACCACCGGACCTTCATAGTTCATACTAGCTCTCCACCTGTCTCGTCGGCGGCACTGGTCACGGCGAGGCGGTGTCCGTGGGAAGTGTGACTCCTTGCGTGCCGACATTTATACACCGAAATATGCAGCTGGCAGCAATTCGTTATGATACAACATCGCCAGCTGCATCACTCTACTCAATTTCCTCTCGAGAACATCGCCCTTCACCGGCCATATCTCCTCTCATCAAGCTCGATGCAAGCTTCTTCCATTATGCAATAGACTCCATGAAAGCGTGTGATCCATAACAATAGTGACTTGACTTGAGCAGCAGCGCCCGCAATCACAGCCAAAATCGCGCCGACTATTTTGGTTGACGTTGTTCGCATTGCCCAAGATTACAGAGGCACGCTCGTGTCTACGGCGCCCAGCGGCAATGATGATGCTGTGTGACATGCTGTCTCGCACATTCTAAAATCATCATCACAGGCCGCAGTGATGCGAGTCACGCAGTTTGGCGGCAGAGCTCCTTCGCGAACGTATGATATGATGAACAATCAAGGATACACTAAGATCAAGTTCACGGGTTTGTCCCATATGCCAACAACCAATCCCCCAATCTTGCAGGCACGATCTCACAAATTCAAGATTCAGAGCAGGACAGGACAGTAGCGGCAGACAAGTTCGGATCGATCATTGCTTTGGCCTCAGCAAAAGCTGATCTCCCAGTGCTAATGTCGAATGGACCTGACGACGACTACCGCCCTCAATGTCCAGTCATCGCAAGTAGTCTGGACCATGCTTTCTGTAAGGCAATCTTCGCGGGCAATTCACAATGGACTCGGCAACTGATACGATCGTATTGAGCTCGGAACAGCGTCATCCTTCTTGGGATGCCCTGTTTCAACCGGCCACATCTCCCCGACTTTGATCTTGGTCTTCTACGCACGCAGATGCTGGCGCTCTCGTACGAAGATCTTCGCATATCGCATATTGTCGGTCGGAAGCATTCGCGGAGGCTTGTGCAGTACACACCGTTGTCTTTGCGATCATGTTTCACCAGCTTCGGTGCTCCTGTGCTCCGTGGATTGCACTGTACTTGCACAAAATCTCGATTTGGTCTATCAGTGGCTTACACAATGGATTCCTAAGGATGAGTGAACTGTATCGGCTCTATGTGGACTAGTCGGTTCAGAGGACCCGGAGTGCCTAAGTTAACTAGCATCGCGGCCGCGATGCGGTGCCGACGGAGGGAACTGCGGTAGACCTATCTTCCCCATCTTATTACTCTGTAAGGAGTACAAGATCGTGGTCTTGGCAGGTGGCTTGTCGGTGAATTCGGTGCTTTCGCAATGGTCGACACACTAGCGGCTCACCACCCCTTGCTATACACCCCGGGTCAGCTATTCCGACCCCACAAATTCCAGGAGATGGCAAACTAACATTCATTATAGGTGACTTAGTGCCTGTGGTACTACAGATAGACTTTGGTACACGGTGGTGACGGGGGCACTATTCTCGGGACGACTTCACCTTCTGTTCGGGAACATGATGTCAATGACATGAGCTGCGAGAGAGAGCCAAGCGGATTCCCTGGATCAGACACGTTGTCTGCTGAATCAGGTATTCATTCTGTCGCTCCTCAGAAGGAATTCTCCATACGCCAAACGTCTAGTGCTTCGACAGACATCAATCGGCAAGACAGTGACGGGGTTCAGTGGCAGTGCTTTTGCTGTGATCGAGTGTTCTATTCACGTGGGCAGCTCGAAGCCTCCGGAAGTATATGATCGCCATCGACGATGCAGACAGCGTTACTGACACGCTGCTTCAACGTAGAATAGGTCCACAAAGTCTCTCACGAAGTCGCTAGTTTGATGACGATCTCATTGACGTCTATCCGATAGTACTGAAGCAGGCACATCTATGGATTTTCTGTGACATGCCAACGCGTGAACATCAAAGAGCAGCAGCCACTCTGGTATTCGCTTATCGCCGGGCTACCTCCTCTCCACGCTACCAATCCATGTTTAGTGAACATTGACGCCATGTGTTGCAGATGTCTACGCTATTCTGAGACATGATAGCGGCTGTGGTATTGCGCAACTGTACTTGAGCTGATTGGATAAAAGTGTTTCCCCGGAGTCCTGCTATGCCAAAATTCCGATCTGGGACAAGCGCAGGTCAAGCACTACGCGTGTCGTCTGCAATGTAGGGCCACCCAACTGATATTAAACACTAGAAGATCACTAGAAGAACTGCATTCTCCGATGCTAACACTCTAGCTCAAGATGTGGCAGTCGACCTTCCGGGTGGCTAGGACATATCCGGTAACTCTGTGGATGGCAGAAGCGACTCTACTCCGCAATAATGGCCGGGCCAAGGCTTATAGGACCTACTGTGAAACGAGACTATGCTAGCTAACAGCTGTAATGCTTGCTCAGATTGCCTGATTCGGAATGTTATAGGCGATTAATCCTTCCATCCCAAAACCACGCATGCAAGGTTCAACATCTTGGCCAACGTCGAAAGCACATGGAAGCACGTTCTGCGAGTTCACAGCTGCACAGGAAGAAACGGCTACAATGGGCACAGCTGTCAACCTTCGGAGAATCACAACTCGACAGCCTGACAGCTGGGCAAAGACACTGGCAGTCGGAGCAGGTCGACAGCGTATATTAGGATGCAAGTCGACCGCCCATTCTCGAAACTCATCATCAGCATCAACAACACCAGCAGCCTCATCAGCACACCAGCCCAATTCCCCTCTCATCAATTCTTTCTTGCACACAACAAAGTTGATCTTTGTTTATCATTTTCCATCGCAATCGATCACAAATACCAACCTATCAAAAAAAATCCCATCTACCAACAAAATGAAGTTCACCACCACCGCCATCTTCGTCGCCAGCGCCGCCGCTGTTGCCCTGCCGGATCAGGGTACCACCGCCGAGAAGCCTGGTTCCAACCAAATCAGCCACGCTGGACCCAAGCTTGGCCTGCCTGAACCAATCTTCTCTGACCGCATTGGCATCCCATACCAGCCACGCATTCTCTCTCGTGATGCTTTCAGCTTCGACTTTGGACTCGGCGGCAACGACCCACTCGACGGCATTCCAGACTTCATCAAGCCTTCCAAGCGCGATGCTCTTGCCGATGCTCTCATCTCCGTCATTGGAGCAGGCAATGGACGCAACATCAACGCGAGAGATGCTCTCATCTCTGTCATTGGAGCTGGCAATGGACGCCTCGCCACGAGGGATCTCGAGTCTGTGAGACGTGCTATCGGTGCCGGTGCCGCCGCTGTTCTCGGTGGTGTCGTCTCCGGTGTCGTCGCTCCCGCCGTCACCACGGGCATCAACGCCGCCAGCAAGGCTTTCCGCGGCGGCAACAAGCGCGCTGTTGACGAAGTCTCCTACGAGGAAGTGAGTAGGATTCCTTGCAATCACCTCACCCCGAACCCGCTGCTAACAATCCGATCTAGGCTAGCGCTGAGTTCATCGACGCTGTCGTCAAGCAGATCGCAGCCAATGGCGTCGATGATGGTACCGCAGGTGTCTGCACTTCTGTCGAATACACCGTTTCCGCTCCAGGTTCCACTCGTGATGCCAACGGTGTCCGCTTCGAGCGCGATGGCAAGACCACCGACTACGACTGCTTCCTCCTCGCTGCTGGTGGCAAGTTCTCCGTCAACCCAGCTGATCTCGCTACCAAGGGCGCTGTAAGTCAACTCTCCATCGATCATTCTCATCAAAGATCTCCTTACTGACCTTGCAATATCAGGTGGCTGTTGCTGGCGGCAGCTTCGACAAGGATGGTGTCCTCACTGTTGCCTAGATGGCCAACAATTTCTACTGTTGATCAGTTGGAAATCACAACAGCCGGTCTGTTGTTTACGATCACTACATGATTGCGATGTTGCATGAAGATCTCGCGCCGGACGCGGCGCTTGATGAGCCTGGGCTGACGACTACATTACACTGGTGTGCTGCATAGCTGGTCGGTCGTTGGGGTGCTTTTGTTGTTGTTTAGATTTGAAATTGAATTGTTGGCCAACATTCACTCGAGTTTTCGTCTTCTTTTCCATATGTTTTCGTGAGCGCACTCACAGCAATACTTGTTCGAACTCTCCTCGTAGGATTGGCCTGCGACTAGATGCTCTTCGCAAGCTCTCGCTGGAACACCTGCTAATAATCGACGTCTTTTTGGAAACCTTTCTGTCTCCAGGTCTCCACCTCCGGTTGTCGCCTTTCAGCGGGCCGAGAGTCATGGAGTTCGATGCTAAATTAAGTACACACGATCCTGACTTAAAGGCAAATGAGTGTTGCTCCTGCCTAAATCTTCTCAAACCACTGGAGTAGAGTCTCCACGAATTCCTTGGGCTTCTCCTCCGCGATCCAATGTCCTGCGCCAGGTATAGCCACGAATTCGACATCATTGTAGAACTCCTTCGCCATATTCGTTGCCATTTCCTCATTAGCAAAACTTTGCCCGCCCCACAGGGCAAGTGACCTGACCTGGCACTTTGCATGCTCTTCTATTCGCTTGACATTGTCCTCGCCGTCTTTCTCGAAGCATCTGTAAACATTCAAGCCTGCACGCATGGCGCCTGGCTGCGCGTAAGCTGTGACGTAGACATCCAAATCGTGGGAGCTGATGGCATCGGGGTTCTGTACGAGGCGGTCGAAGAAGTGTTTCAGGTAAATTCGCTCGCGCCCTTGGATCAGGGCTTCGGGGAGGTCGGGAACGGAATGGAAGGTGAAGTGCCAGACTTGCATGGAACTCTTTGTGCTGTGGTATGCTTTAGTGCCTGGCAGCGGGTTCTCACCCTGTGCTATGCTGGCCACGTTGTCCGGAAATTGAGCAGCGTAGGAATGCGCAATCATGCCGCCTGATGGCTTCCGTCAGCATGTCTGACCAGGTTGCAAATGCTTCTCTGCCTACCGATATCATGTCCCACCAAATGCAGCTTGTCCTTGACTCCCAAGTGCTTGACGAGGTTGTGCAGATCCTTCGCCATGACTTCCTTCGTGTACCCATTCCACGGCTTGCTGCTGCTTCCTGCTCCTCTGTAGTCTGGCGCGATGACATGGTAGCCAGCGTCTGCCAGAGGCGTAATCACTCTTCGGAACTGATAGGACGTCTGTGGAAATCCATGGATGAGCAGAACCGTCCCCTTCGCTGCTTCCCCCTCAGGCGGAGGACACGCGATAGTGTGCAGGTAGATGCCGTCTTCGAGCGATGGAGAAGCGGGCTCGTTGTCCCCGACCCGGACGCGTTCGTGGACCCATCGTGAGTCGTCGATCTTAAAGGCCGGCGTCACGCCAGCGCCTGCTGTAGTCATGATGCTCCTTGTGCGTACTGAGATTGTAGTATGAGATGTCTGTATTCCGCTTACCTTTCCTGCTTCAACAAGAGCTCTTATGGTGGGACGAACACGATGGCGCTCGTGACGCTCGAGATGCATATGAAGCCAGTGTGACGCTCGAAGCGCATCATGATGGGCAACTACGCCCACCTGGCTTTGAAATCAGCTTTCCTCATCGACATCGTACTCTCTTGGCCGTAGTTGGTAGCACGGTCAACATGGTGTAGATGTTGCAAGTTGTGGGACAGAGTCCACATCAAGCCCCGAAAGTTGGAGTTGGAGAGCTCCGATCCTTGGCAATCGATTGCAGTATCAGCACCTTGTTGGCATGTTCAACATACTCCGCAAATCACCCATACAAAAGCGTCACATGGTCATCGATGAACAAGTTGCAGCTGCAATGCATCCTGCAAAAGCCTACAACCCATTTACCAGGTTATCGAGCATCGCCAAAACCTTGGCTATACAGACATTGGCTGCTCAACTTCGGCCGCTAGTGGCAGAACGTCGATCTCAGTTGACAACCACAGCACTGACCATCATCACAACCACCAAAAACAGCCACGAAAAACAACCACGCTATGACAGATTTGTAAAGGGAGCGACAATTCGTTCTCAAATATCTAACCTCAAGCTGCATCCTCCTTGATGAAGTCCGCGCCTCGTTCCGCGATGGCATATACCAGACTCTGGATATTTGCCCGTGGGATAAGTGGAAACACGCTTGCATCGATCACTCTTAAGCCCTCGACTCCGTATACTCGAAATTTCTCATCTACAACGCCTCCCTGCTCTCGCGGCAGCATGGCAGCTGTTCCACAAGGATGATATTCACTCTGGAAGCTCTCACGAACCCAATCCTCCACATTTGCTTCATCGAGCTTGTGATATCCTGGTTGGTAAATCGTTCCGTTTCCTGCCAGTAGATCCGAAAGTGGCGTGGTCTGGACAACGCTCTGTAGGTGCAACGCAGCAGCAGCAAGGAGCTTGACATCCAGCGGATGAGATAGATATCTGGGGTCAATGGTCGGATACTCCGACGCATTCGCTGAATTGATGTGAACGCTACCGCGCGAGAACGGATGTTCAAGCACAGCTGTGATTGTCAAAAAGTTGCCTGGGACACTCGATGCGAATAGCTTGCTTGTGTCATTGACAAACTGAGGAGACATCCCGCCCGGCACCGCAAACTCTTGCATCACAGCTTCGTTGTGGATGTCGTCGCAGAGTATGGACTGCTGAGCAGTGCTTGGTCTGCATAGCTTGGATTGGCTTGTACTTTCACCAGTGATCGTTGCACTCGAGCAGTACATGTTGACTGTCTGATTTAGGTCTGCTCTATCGTAGCCGCCGATTTGTTCGAGAGAAAGCAATGCTGACATGGCGCTAGTCGTCGCCAGTGGACCATCGCGTCGGTCGATGAAATTCTGATATGCCTCGTCGAAAAGGGTTCCGTTTGCGAAGTCGTCTAAGGTAAAGATACCAGGCCGAACTTCGTAACCGAGAGGAACGTACACATGATCTTCCAGGCCCTCGCCGACATTGTGATTCTCCACGACCTGTGGAATGCCAAACTTTTGCAGCACTTCAGGATCGCCAACTCCGGACAGCTCCAGTAACTGAGGCGAACCAAAGGCACCGGCACTCAAAATCACTTCTTTCTTCGCAAAGACTTTGTGCGTCGTACCATTGATGTTGTAAATTGCGCCCACTGCACGATGTGTCCCTTCATCTTGGTCAAACAGTATACGCTGAACGTGCGCACCAGTCATGGCTTTGAAGTTCTGTCGCTTCGAAGCATCTTGCAAATATGTGGTAGCAGCGTAGCTGCGACTTCTCGACTTCGGATCCATGTTCAGCATGTTCGTATAACCGCCAAGCGCGAGTCCATTTCGCGGATCGCCATCGACTGCAAGACCCAAGGTCTCGTAGGTCCTTGGCCATGCTTCGTCGAGTGGGAAGTAGATGTCGGCAAAAGTGGTCAAGATGGGCCCTTCATCTCCGTGCAGGCTTTGGTCGATATACTGAGTACGCAGTGCCTCTTCCGTCTGCGTTGAAGGTCTGATGAATGTCTCGGATTTGTTGAAGAATGGCTCAAGCACTTCCCAGCTCCAGTTCCTGTTGCCGAGAAGCCCCCAATTGTTGATGTCCTGCTGCGAGGCATGCGTCCACCAGAGGAAGTTGATAGCCGAAGAGCCCCCAAGCTGCTTACCGCGTGGATGGGCGATCACATTGTTGTTGACATGCTCCTGAGGGGTTGTGTGATAGTTCCAGTCATATCTTTCGTCGCTGTAGAGCGAGGTCAAGAGGTTCGGGGCTAGGACGTTCACATCTTGAGACCGGTCCTCGCCTGCTTCGAGCACGGCCACTGTAGTCTTCGTATCCTCGCTGAGCCGAGCTGCTACTGTCAGGCCTGCGGTGCCTCCGCCGACCACAACATAGTCGTATTGATCGCGAGCGAATGCTGTGATGGCAATGCCAAGCAGCAAATGATACGCGACCATGATCAATCGGGCGTGCGATTACGGAGAGCGTCCTCGAAGAATGTGTATTGCCGCACGAAGGTGCGATACATGCATTATGAAAGACTTACCTCTCTATACGCACAGTCTGCTTCTCAACAATTCCGTCGCGATCTGCTCGGCCGCAGGTGGACCCCAATGATCTGCAGAGCTCCCCTCGGAATTTGCACGCGACGCTGCAAGAGAAGTGTCCACTCGTAACACGGTGGGCCATTCTTGCAGTTGGAATGCAACGCCACGATTCCTCGTCAGCTTTTGGTAAGTACATAGTCGGCAGACCGAATGTGGACGCAGCAAGCAGGAGCTTGGTGGTCGACGTTCGGATAAATTAGCATGGCAAGAGTGTGCCAGAGAACGGCAAGGACACTTTGGCCAAGTGCCAAAAGTTCACGGGTCCTTGCTGCCATTCAATCTCCACCTATGCATTTCCGGCCGAACATGCTTCTTGCCATCGATTAGCATCGTGATTCCTCATCTCCACGGTAATTTTGCAGCTATCACAGCATAGCATAGCATAGCATCATGGAGACCAGCCCAGCAGAGTACCAGCGCGACGACTTTCTCGCCGGCATTCCCCCGCCTCCCGAGGACGAGTTCTGTGTCTTCGGCACAGTGCGTGTCTTCATCAGCATGGCGAACTCAAGGACACTGGCCGTGACCTGACGACTCATAGGTCTACGCTCATCCAGAGCATGCAGATGCTCTCGAGGCTGTATACGCAGAGACGACACGTGTTGCAGCTTCAGAGCCTGGAATTCTGTACTATTGCCTGGCCAGAGACCAGGACGACCGCAACGTGTTCCACTTCTTCGAGCGCTACACTGGACGCAAAGCTTTCGAAGAGCACAACAACACGCCGACTGTGAGGAAGCTGCTGGCTGATGGCCTCATCAAAGGCGTAAAAGCAAAGTTCGTCAAAGCTATCCAGCCGGCTGAAAGTGGTTCGACTTGAAAGCTTGTTGAGATCAGGCCTGCAAGTTATACACTTGCCCCCGGGGCGACAGAACTAGATATGCTAGCAAGCAACGATCCAGAGTAACGAAGCAAGACGTGAGACCATGAGCCATTCCACCATATTGATGTAAACACCTCCGGCGTCTCGTCGACTTCTTCATGGTGCTGCGACTTCGCGCGCCCGCAGATCCTTCCACACTAAACCATTAAAATTCGCATGAGTCAACAGGTGTCTGCACAATCCTTCGGGCATTCATCTGCTGGACTGTGCTGGACTCCTAGGCGCGGCACTGATCGTGGTCAAGCTATATATCCCGGTCTGCTTGAAAGTCGGCATCGCATACGCTCTCGAGGCTGGAGTTGAGCGAGGTCTCGTCTTGGACCATCTGCTTGTCATTTTCTTTGCAAGATGGTACCTTTCATCCGAGCAATCGCCTCACGAGTACACTGGGTTGGACGCAGCGCAGCTGTTTTGCAGAGAAGAATGGGGCTTAGCCGGGAGTGAAGAATGAGCACGAAGTCGCATCACGCTATTGAGTGCTCAAAAACTTGGAACCGGAAGACCCAGCGATTCCAGCACTCGGTATCGTCTTTACGCCTTGGAATTGTCATCTGTCTTTGCATCAGAGAGTTCTCCGGCAAGCGCTGAGCAGCGATCACAGCAGGCTGGTCTGCAAAGAGAAGCCAATGTTGTGTGCGATCTCGCTACCCAGATCATATGAGGAATGGCTGCAGGATCGAAATGGGCATTGCGGATAGCCAATCGACAACCAAGAGGAAGAACCTAGCATGGCGCAGCTGTCTCATCTTTCATGTGTGGCATTGCAGCGTGATTGCGACACCATCAAACCCGCTGCTTTCTTGTAACTCTGGTCAGACTGTGGGCCTTGGGCGTCGAATGACAAAAGCGCGGCCGCTCGGCGCGAAGCCAAAGCGCCCAAGGAGTCGGCCATCAAACGTACGATAGCTGAGGCTCGTTCATTGTGAGCTTCAGCAGTATGTACTGGCTCTTTCCACGCCCACCACTGAATGCTTTGTGCCCTGTGTCTGACTCTTTATACGGCCTGAGCCTGTTCTGGCGCTGTTTACTGCAAGCCGCGCGCATTCCTGGGCTGTCCTGGTCGTTGTGCTTCAAGCAAACTCGTTCCTTCGGGAGTCTTCGAGGGTTCGAGGGCGGCTTGCGGTCGCTATTCGTCGTCTCAGTCGTTGCGTGCACCCTTATCGATCTCGGTCTGGCGATTTGTCGTTTACGGTGTCACTGCCGTTGCATTGTTGGCGAGCCGGACGCGTTCGGGCGCAACCTCTTGTTGCAGTCGTATGTCGACCACGACCGACACAAGCAACGGTGTGGCCAAATCTGGTGCCCCGAGAGCTCTTGCTCACGGGCGAGGAGGGCTCCGTCGATTTGAGAGTCGTCATCGCACCAGGAGTCCACATTCTTCTTCTCCCCGTCACCCTGGTCGAGAAGCTGGCATCTGCCTCAATCTCGCGATTCGAGCTTGATGATGATGAGCGTGTTGCGGAGCTGCTGCGTGCGTTGGTTGCTGTGAAGCGCTTCGTTCTGGGGAAGAAATGGCTACAATGGCTATCGGACTCCGTCCCGTTCCTGCATCGCTGCAGTACCTGGCCTGCCATGATCCCTGGATTCCGGCACCCGATAGAGTGTGTCAAGTCGTCGCCGCCGTTTGATCGTCGCTCTACGTTGTTCTATGACGAAGATGCGGGAGAGATCGATTGAAGGACTCGCGGGCAGGGTCACTGCAAACGTATGCTCACCGTTGGGTCGCCTGTTCCGCCTCACTCTAGTAGCGTCTATTTGTTGTCTCCGGACTGTGCAACTTAATGGAGCATCAGACGGCCTGAAGTCATCAGCGGGCTGGTGGTTGTCACTGCCGATGTCGTTGTTGATCGCTGGTCCTGCTGGAGGCGGTGATAATCATGCAGCGCCGAGCAGTGACATGAAAATTATGTTCGCCCGGCGCAAAACTATCATCAATGGTTGCCTCCGTTCGTCACAGCACCTGCACGTCACATTGCTGGAGTCACTCGCGGTCAAAAGCCTTGGCGTTCTATCAACATCGGATACGATTGCATGGACGACCAGCAAAATGTTTCTCAGCACCACAAACACTTCCTGTAGCTGGGCGTAAGGCAGACGCTGAAGCTCTTTGCCCTCAAAGGTGTTTTTAAGGCGTCTCTGCGCGATGTTGTGACGGCGTAGAAGCGAGTAGGCACTTCATGAAGCAAAAATACAAGCTAATGTCGGCGACAAACACCATCTGAGCAAGAATCGAACCTTGCACCACACAACAAAACAGCAAAAAAGTGATTTATCTGACGGATCAGATATTGCTCAGCAGACTCAGCATGCTGGCATGTCTTTTCGATGTTAGCATGTTCCGTAACTGGGGTGTCTTGCAATTCAGACGCGCCGGAATGAATTGCTCAACCCCGACCAACCAGATAGGATGGGCAGTCCTATCTGATTGGTGATAGAAGTCCAACTTTCATCCCTTATAATGCCTAAAATGAGCAGGGCCGAGATTCGGGAGATGGCAATGAGCGGCAAGTTCGTATGTGTGCTCACAGTGAGCTCGGGATAGATCTCTACAGCACGGCGAACATCTGCGCCCCTTGATGGCACCACCATGCACATTATGAGCAAGCACGCACAGCAGAAGCAATCACACGCTGGCCAGAATCACCGTAACATCTATCCAAATCTCTGTTGTAAGACTTCTGGGCAGTGCATTTGAGCATGAAGCTTGCCGCGCGAAGGATGTCCATACCGCGACGGAGAGCTCGCAAGACTGATAGAGATACAACAGAGCTTGGGGATCACTGAGCATCAGAGTCCGTCAACTCCTCGTCTTTTCCTTGCCATTTACCGCCGTCAACACAACTGGTGCGCCTGACGAAGCCCCCAGAACAAGCGAAAAAGACGCGCGCACACGAATCGCCTCTTGACGGCGCAGAGACGACCCACAACCTTCTCCACTAGAAACGCAACCGATCCAAAGCCCTCCTCACCCGTTCCAGATAGCTCTACTTCACGGCATCGTTCAGCGGCCCCGAAAGAACAACCAGCCGCCGCGATACGAACGCCTCGATCCGTGGGTCACAGCTGCAAAAGAACAACATGGCACCCCGAGCGCTCACAGTTCTGGAAAAGTTGATGGCAATCGCATGCTACAAGGTTGGTATCGAAGCCAACAAGAAGATATGGCGCCCGCGCTCTCCGACAAGACCGGCGCCGCCGCGCGCTCAGTCATGACGATCGAAACATGTTACGCCTGCGCAAGGAGGCAGAAGGACAGGGGCGACGAAAGACATGAATAATGGCTCAACATTAAGGGGGACATCACATGCGTAGGAATCGGTGCAGGCATATGGATTCCATACGAATTCGGTCACGAACGGCGCGCAGGATACGGAAACATGATTGCAGCAACGCACCTGATAGGCAGAGTCACTAGCTGGACTGGGGGTGCTGTCTGTCCTGTTCTGCGTCGAGCACACAGACGAGACCAATCTGAATGGCAGCCGATAGCACGGGCTGATACGGGCAGCTTCATGTGCAGAGACTTGAGCAATACCACCGTATATGGCAGAAGAATGTTTGGTCACCAAACGGGGCCATTGGAAGTTTAGCAGTTGAGCAGACCTCGGATACGGTTCAGAAAGACTATTCCAGCAAATTTGGAGAGGCAGTAATGCAATTGTGCACGGAAGGTCACACCGCTACCCATACCAATAAACTAGCCAACATGTCCGCGACCTGGACAACGTATCCTTCAATGTCTTCACCTGCTGAGTGGAAGCCATGTTGTCCTTGATTTTGTGCCATCCGTCCCCTTTGCGGCCGCAGAAGCCTCCACTCTTCTTCACGTCTATGCCAGCGTGTTTCCATCCACTGCAATATCCTTTTCCTGTGCCGCTCGATGCCAATCGTCTCCCAGTCTTCAGCAGTAGGTGCGCCAACCAACCCTTCAGGTTCAGGAAAGTGCTTTGCAGCGGACTATGCTTGAAGTGCGTCGAAACGTGGTGGGCAAAGATCTCGCCCAGCGGACGGGCATCACCGGCAATCAAATCGCTACGACGACCGACTAGCGTCGATAGCATTTGTGGCAGCGTCGGCAGCATTCGGGGTAGCGTCGGCGGAGGCGGCGAAGTTGCTGGTCGGCATGGGTGCAGGACTTGATTCCTTACTGTTACTTGCTTCTCGGCGTATCAGTGAACGAGCACCATGTCCTTCCTGACCTTGCTGCGTCTCACAAGCAGCGACCGAGAAATCTGGTGGTGATGAGCATTGTTGTCTCGCTAGTGAGAAGCAATATCAGCAAACATGCATGAAGGAAGCAGATGGAAAATTGCGTATCATCCGGTACCGTACCGAACACGTCAGTTCGCTGTCTTTGCGTGACGCGGCATGGGCCATGTGAATGCACAAGGGAGAGGACGAAGACGGCACAAGCTCAAGCTGAATCGGGCAATCGCTCTCGGGGCATACACACGCGGGATCCGCGGTCAGTCAGGCACAGGCGCGTCTACGGCTCAGCAAAGGGAGAGCACGATGTTGAGGGACACACATGTAAACAAGAAGCGACGATGAAATTACAGATGAGTACAGAAGTTGTAGACGTGTGAAGGCCTCCAGGTCACTGTTTGCAATCAACAGCGCAGCTGATGGCCCTCCTCTTTCTCTCGATCATGACCCGCCAGGCCACATCGTCGGCTTTGAAAAACTGTAGGTCTCCGCCAGGGGCCCCACCTTTACCATGCGATCGCCTGCAGCGACGTCTAGGTAGATAGGCTGTGGGACCCCCGCCGGTGTCACGAGGTCGGTCACTGCCGGTGTCGAACCTCCAGCTGGCCGGTGAAACGACAGTCTTGGCTGGTCCTTCGTGCCCGTGAGAGCCTGGACGAAGGTCTCGACAGCGACCAGGACAGTGCTGTTGACCGGGTTGGAGATGATAAGGTGCTTGCCATCACCATGCCCGACTGATGCTCTGTGAGTGAGGCAAGTTAGCGAAACGACGCGAAGTTGGCGGCAGCGAAGGAAGGAAGCGACAGCGAAGGGGAAGTGAGTACTCACAATAACATCAACAGCCAGGTGCCGTCACTGCTCTTGTTCTTGTCGAAGCGCCCAAGGCATGACGATCTCGGCGCGCTTTGGCTGGAAGTGCCTGCGGGTGGAGGAAAGG